ATTTTTAATCTCTTTTTTAAGTGACAGTTTTTTAAGTATTGTGTCCCTAACTCCATTTTCCCAGTAAGCTTTGTGGTTTTTACTGCATAATAATTTTTCATAATTTCATATCTTATTGTAGCAGAACTGACTACATTACTGCTTGGGAAAAAAATCAATGACCAATCCATGTTTTCAGAGATAACACATGGAAGACAGGCATGGTGGCTCATGCCTATAATCTCAGCGCTTTGAGAGGACAAGACAATCAGACTGCTTGAGATCAGCCTGGGCAACACAGTAAGACTTTGTTTCTAGAAAAAATAAAACTATTAATTGTGCATGGTGATGCTTGCCTGTAGTCCCAGCTACTTAGGAGGCTGAAGTGGGAGGATCCCTTGAACCCATGAACTTGAAGTTAAAATGAACTATGATGGCACCACTGGAAGATCCAGTCTCTTAAAAAAGAAGGAAAACAGGAAAGCTTCCAGCAAGTCTGCTTAAGCATTAAAGTCAGAAAAAAAGCCTTTTTCTCTAAGCTCCCTCCTGAAAAACTGTTTTTTCCTCCAAGTTTTCATCCATTGACTAGGTAGCTTCCAAGTCATGTATCAGATTTGGAGCTGGAAGAGTATCATTCACCTTGAAAACAGTGAACAAAAATTTGAATTTTTCAAGAACTAAAGAGGTGACATTGAATGTATCTTCCAAATTCAGGTCTTGATTCTGACAGAAAATCTTGGCAAGCACCCCTATAAATGCTTAATGTTCAATAATGAGCTATTCAATAGCTACTCAATACTTAACAGGAAAATATATGCAGCAAAAAAATGATTTCTGCAATATAGTTATAATGGTACAGTACAAACCACAGAACCTTTACACTTATTCACTCCTAATTCTTGATTAGCCCAGAGGTAAAGAAAATAGTGAAATTTAAAAAGTGATACATCTTTCCTCATTTCCATGCAGAGTAGAAAAGGGACAGACCTGAAGCACTTAGCACTGAAGCCAAAGGGGAGGTAAAAATAATGCTGCTATTTAGCATGCTCAAGAAAGATAATGTCATTGTTTTGCTTTCTTGGATAAGCCTGGACTAAAAACCAGGACTTATCCCAAAAGTGACAAACATAAGCATTGTACAACATGCGCTCCTACACATGGGGCAAAGTTACTTGGGTATTATAGTCATGCCCCTGGCACTATTTCTTAAAGAATTAAACGTAACTCTTTTTAAAGAAATAATTGAGATTTATGTTTACTTCCAAATGCACATATATATACAAGGGGGAAAAAGTGAAAGGAAAGAAACACCAAAATGGTAACAGAAGTAATACTTGGGTAATGAGATAACAGATTAATTTTTTTCTTGTCTATAACTTTCATTATTTTACAATGAATACATATTACTTCTACCATCACAGGAAAACAAATATCTTTTTAAACAGTTAACTGAGAGATAAATCCATTATCGTAGTTCATGCAAAATTAATAGTAAGTCAGCATGAGAGTCAAGTAGATGATGGAAAAAAAAAAAATTAAGCCAGCAAACATCCCTGCTACTTCCAAACGGTCAAAGGTGAGTAAATTGGATTTGGAGAGCACTCTGCTGCCGACCCCCATGCAGGAAAATCCACTGAAACTAGAGCACGAAGGCAATTCTGCAGTAAAACTCATCTTCAAGAATGTGGATGGGTACAATGACAGACACTCTATCCATGGAGGTCCAACCTTTTGGCTTCCCTAGGCCACACTGAAAGAAGAATTGTCTTGAACCACATATAAAATACACTATCACTAATGAAAGTTGATGAACTAATAAAAAAGGTTCATGCCTAATTTTTGTGATTCTGTCACCACAAATAAGCAAAAAAATCCTTGTATTTAAAGGGCTGGACATGGCTGCTACCCAGCAGACATAAATCATTTGTTTGTCCCTGTTTTTATCAGTCAGCATTTTGGTGACTACTGGCATTCTGAAAAATCATCACCTTTTGGGTAAAGCACATATAGGGTCATTTAATGAAATTTAACACTGTCTGATAGCAGAGAATATGAAAATATGATCTAACTAAGACAACCAGTAACAAAAGCCTAAGAAATGTGCAAAAGGCCATTGCAGATTTTCTAGCCAGCTTTCTCTCAACATCATTGCCACAATGATGATGAATATTCATTATCCACTGAGAAAGCATGTAAAAGTGAACTACTAGGTATACAACACTATCCTAGATGCTATGGTGAACACAAAAGACACAAAGTGCAGTCATTCTCTTCACAGCATTCACACATTTGATAGGGAAAGATATGATATAGATATCAGAAATATTTAAATAACATAAGACCAACAAAATTAAATGGCTAAATGAACTGCACAGATAAATACTTAAGATACTTAAAGGATGGTCTGCTCAATATGGACTTGAATATTTCACTTCAAAGAAGAAGATAATCGGCCGGGCGCAGTGGCTCAAGCCTGTAATCCCAGCACTTTTGGAGGCCGAGGCGGGTGGATCACGAGGTCAAGAGATCGAGACCATCCTGGTCAACATGGTGAAACCCCGTCCCTACTAAAAATACAAAAAATTAGCTGAGCATGGTGGCGCGTGCCTGTAATCCCAGCGACTCAGGAGGCTGGGGCAGGAGAATTGCCTGAACCCAGGAGGCAGAGGTTGCGGTGAGCCGAGATCGGGCCATTGCACTCCAGCCTGGGTAACAAGAGTGAAACTCCGTCTCAAAAAAAAAAAAAAATGAAAAAAAAAAAAAAAAAAAAAAAGAAGAAGATAATTTTGATAGACAAGAGACACAAGGGTAGTTCGGGCACAGTCACCAATATGAGTGAAGTCACTGGAGTGGAAAAGGCAATGATGAGTCTGGACACACTGGAATAAAATTACCAGGATGGGGAACAATAAAAGGAAGGAAAGGGAGAGATCTGGGCAGATTATACATCTCCTTAAGGGTTTCTTTACCTTGAATCCATCTAGTATACCATTATCAGATTAAGAACACTTGTGCAAGCATAAGAACATTGCATTTAAGCTACAGAGAGACAGAATATCAAATGTCGTAATTAAAGTAGGTGCTATTTTACAGATAGAAACTAAATTAGTTAAACAGAGAAGTTAACTAATTTGCCCAAGGTTATTGAGTTTAGTAACAGAGCTGAGATTGAATGTAGGCAGATCTACTCAACTCCAAAGTCCATGCTCTTTTTTTCACTACTCCACTTTTACTACCTCTTCCTAAAGCAAATCTCCTATAACATCACTCTGAATTTATACAGTCCCCCTATGACAGTGTATTCTCCTACCCTTTGACTGTCCAGTGTCCCCAGAGTGATGCCCTGTGCTCAGGAGACTCGTATCTGCAGATAAAATTAAAATGACCTATAACAGTCTACCCTGCCCAGGGGTATTTCCATTGTAACAGGAATCAGAGCCTTAAATTAAAAGAAAAAAGCTCTAATACAAGCCATGTGGTAGAAATGCATATCTTACCTTCATAAGGGAACAGCTCAAGGCTGTGTCATTAAGGTGTCCATTTTCATAGCTTATAGTTAAAGCTTATACAGTAAGAATCTTACTCATAAACCCAGAGGGTCTCCATGGAACTCTAACCAGCCCCAATCTTGGAGACAAAAGACCAGGTGTGGCTGCAGGTTTGCTTCAGAAGAGAATTGGAAGTCTCACTATTTTACATTTTAAGTATATAAGAAAATGTAAATTAAATATAGCTGACATTTAAACTGTTACATATTTCTTTAAGGGACAGGTTGCTAAAAATGTGCTTTCTAATAATTCTAGAAAATGATCTTACACTGTCTTTGGGACCCAAGAGGAGCATTATCTTTATTACTTCTTACCTTTTTATTATAAAAGATTTCACAGGTATCAAATGTCACCCAAGTATCATCTTTCAGAGGAACTGAAATAAAATTCGCATGGGATCTCAGAATGCATAAAGATAAGTAGGGAGAAGATCATGGTCCTGAGAGAGGTTGCTCCCTGGCACTCATTATGGAAACAGTCTTCACCGACTGTTCATTTGCTAAAACTGGAATATACTAATAGCTAGGTCAAAGGTCCACCTGATAACTTGAAAGTTCCCTATCAAAGATTTTAATAGGCCAAGGAACGACATGAGTTTCAGAATAATGGTTCAAATTTCTACCAGCCCATCCAAAAGCTTCAAAATTATATTAAATTATACATTTTGCATACAATATAAAGAGGTTAATTTGAAAATAAAAGTGATATTGTTTACTCTTTTTCAACAAAAGCTGTTACACCCCTCACCCTAAAAAAAAAAACCTCTTTTTTTCTGAAACAGTGTCTCGCTCTGTTGTCCAGGCTGGAGTGCAGTGGTACAATCATGGCCCTCTGCAACCCTGAACTCCCGGGCTCAAGTGATCCTCCTGCCTCAGCCTTCTGAATGGCTGGGATTATAGGTGTAAGCCACCACATCTGGCTTATTTTAAAATTTTATTTCTAGAGACACGGTCTTGCTATGTTGCCCAGGCTGGTCTCAAACTTCCGAACTCGAGCAATTATCACACCTCTGTCTACCAAAATGCTGGAATTACAGGTGTGAGCCACAGTACCTGGCCTTAAAAAAATCACTTTCTGGCCGGGTGTGATGGCTCATGCCTGTAATCTCAGCACTTTGGGAGGCCAAGGTGGGCAGATCACCTGAGGTCGGGAGTTCAAGACCAGCCTGACCAACATAGAGAAACCCCATCTCTACTAAAAATACAAAAAATTAGCCAGGCATGAGGTCACATGCCTGTAATCCCAGCTACTTGGGAGGCTGGAGCAGGAGAATCACTTGAACCCAGGAGGTGGAGGTTGCGGTGGGCCGAGATTATGCCATTGCTCTCCAGACTGGACAACAAAAACAAAACTCAAAAAAAAAAAAAATCACTTTCTAAGAAATTCTCATTTTATCAATGCTCTAATATATATGTCAATAGATTTTAGGTATAGAATTCTTTTCAGAGACACAAAAAGAGAATGCAGCCTTACATATCTGGATGGCTCTTCTAGATTCTGGTCATTCATGTTAGTAGGAACAATCCGGGTAGCCAGTGGTCCTTCTGCAAAAGGTTTTGGTAACTGACCTCTGAACTCTGATGGAATGAACTGAAGCTGCCAACTGTCAGAAACACAAATAAGGAGAGTAAGAAAAACACAGGGGGATAATATTGCTAAACCTATTTGAAACAAACAAGCCAAAAAACCATGTGAAAAACATTTCACTTGATGAAAAAATATTTCTGCTAAAACCTTAATCAGGGAGCATAGAGGCAGAGGTCACAAATCAGTCCAAAATCATTGAGAAATTTATAATTAGATGTCTCTTGACCCATTTCACCAAGTCTTAGCAGTGAAATTCATAACCAAACAGTCATACAATCAAACAACCAGAGAAGTGCCGATGATTATTGTCAATTACTATTTGGGCACAGAGACTTACCAAATGAAGCAAATTATCAGGTGTATAAAAACATAAAGAATGAAAGAGGCCAAGCGCGGTAGCTCACGCCTATAATCCCAGCACTTTGGGAGGCTGCGGTAGGCGGATCACGAAGTCAAGAGACACCCCAGCCAACATGGTGAAACTCCATCTCCACTAAAAATACAAAAATTAGCTGGGGCATGGTGTTGCATGCCTGTAGTCCCAGCTACTCAGGAGGCTGAGGCAAGAAAATCGCTTGAACCCAGGAGGCAGAGGTTGCAGTAAGTCAAGACTGTGTCACTGCACTTCAGCCTGGAGATAGAGCAAGACTCTGTCTCAAAAAAGAAAAAAAAAGAAAAGAAAAAGAATGAAATGTAATATATGGCACTGAAAACATAGTATGGAAGAAATACTTTGTTCCTGAGTAACCCTCAAACATATCCTTATCTATAAAACTATTTCAAATGTAAAAGGCAAAGGCCAAAGTCAACACTTAAAAAACAAGTTTTAATTTAATCATCAATGACTGAGACGAGGTCTTTATGAAGCATAAGGTACTACTACCTAAAAAAGCTAAGCTACTGAAGCCAGCTCTCAAATGGAGCAACATGACTCATCTTAACCAGATATCCCTTTTACCTACATGGGACTTTTCTCTGGCCAAATTAAGCAAACTACAAGGAACTTTAGGGCCTATGCTCTCATAACCACAGACAGCATAAAAGATACTGTTATGGATGTTTTAATCACAGCTTTCCCCAGTGTCTACATAATGGTAAAGAAATTTCACTACTGTTGGATCAAAAATTTCTTCTCTCGTCTAGCTGAAGTTTCTAGACCACTTTTAGAAGTGGATTAATATCAGGTAATTATAAAAATGTAAATATGAATCCTCAGGAAGAGCCACTGGCAAAAGCCTAGGACACAGGGCATTTTCAGAAGTCCCTGGACACCTGCGGTTATGGACAGTGCAGAATGTCTACCCAGACCCAGCCCTCAGTCTAATGAGCCTAATGAACACAGAAGGCAGGTACACAGTACGCAGGCCCCACAGCTCTTCGAGGTAGTAAATGATTGAATAACTCTCTGTGAAAACTCCAAAAGAAAACAAAAATTAGAAAATACTGCCACAGAACTGCTCTATTTACTTCTTGATTTAAAACTCTGGGAATTAAAGGACAACTTACTTATCAGGCAGAAGGAAGCTGCTGGGAAATCGATACCACTCTTTTCCTACACAGACATTCACAGGTCTGCCTTCTGGGACAGTGTGGATGGTTGGGTCTGTAGCAATTCGGTAAAATTCTGGATACAAATCAAGGGGCCCATGATATCCTGGAAGGAAGAATAGGCAGTGAGAGCCAGAGATGAGTAAGATGAGATTCTGACTTCAATTATAATGCATATTAATGTCGTACCATAAGCCACATGAAATTTAAAAGGCAGGAAGGACCACAGTAATACCAGCAGGAAGCCTGCTCTACAGGTAGAAAATGTCCCTCTAGCTGAGAACATGGTTACAGCAGTGGCCCTATTCTGCCAAAAATAATTGGCTTTCTTGCCCCTCTCTATGCCCTTTCACCTTTTTAACTTCATTTTCCTTGAGCATATTGTAAGATTATGGATCCAAATACTGATTATAAGAAAGAATATAATCATGAGAAGTTAGTCTAAATTTGTATTTTAAGTTTCAGACTTCCTTAATTTATCAGTATCCATTAGAAGAAAAAAACAACAAAAATAGACAAAAAATGTACAGTTAATCACGCTAAAAGGAATCCTTAATCTTCTCTTCAATCCTAAGATACAGAAGTCACATCCCACTCATTAATATTAAGTCTACAGTTTTTCTTTTTAGAAATGGCCTCTTAGCATAAGCCAAATATGCATTATATAACCATGAATCAAGTAAAACCTAAGGGGAAGTGGCTCATCAGTGTAGGTTAAGATATTCTTAGAAGATCTACCTCTGAACAGTGCCACAGAGCGAGAAAATGACAAGAGCCCAAACAGGAAGACAGTCCCTAATGCCAGCCAATTCGACGTCACAGTATAGTGCTCCAGGCGATATCGTTGAAACACAAAGTGGTAACATTTCTGGAAGTACAGAAAACTGTGCTGGTAAAAGAAAATATAACTTGTAGAATATACATAATTACAAGACATCACAGTAACATCAAGATCAAAGTCAAAAAAGAGGTTCTATTAAGGATCTGAGCATTTGCAAACAGTGACATCCCTACTCTAAACTCTAAGATAAAAGCCAACTCCTTTAAGACTACCTGTAGTTTTGGCCAGCCAGAGGGCTTGCCAACAATAAAATCTCACTAGCTTCATAGGAAAAGTATTTAAATATTTTGCTAGCATTTATAGGCCTAATAAGATATTTTTTAAAAAATCTAAGAAATGCTTTTTTTTGGTAGTTTTGTTTGATATATAAAGTATTTCAATTTGTTTTTGATATAATGAATACTAATCTTTACTATCAAAGTTTTTATCAAAGCTTTTAGTATCAAAAAAAGGTCTCATGACCAAATAAGAAAAAAGAATTCCCCTCATAGAACACTAGGAACATGCTCTTAATTATATACTGAACGACTTTACAAACTAGATGAATATTATAATATAAACACATGCATGAATTCTGCTGTCTTTCAGTACCTTCTATCAGACCTCTTCCCTTCCTTCCTTCCCTTCTAGACAAAAACTACTTTCAGAAAGCAATTTTCCAATATATAACAAATGGCATCAATCTGTTTGAACCCTTTTCATATTTTTGGAAATCTGTTCTAAGGAATCAGTCCAAATATAAGCTATTTATCCTAGCAGTATTTAGAATACTGAATAAATGAGCAACCTAAATTTTACCATGAATTATATCTAATAACTATATTATGTAAAATCAAGTCAATATATTATACATTGCATAATAATGTTACATATTATATCCAACTCAGAACATTCCACAGCTACTAAAATGATAAGCACAGAGAATGTTATAATATTAAATTAGAAGGGATATAAAGTCACATGTACAGTGATTATCACAACTATAATAAACCTTGGTATATGATATACAAAAATGCTGGGAGGAGTTTTTGTTAGGTTAATGGGGCTAATTTTTCTTTTACCACTTCCTAAATTATCTGCAATAAAGTTCAATTACTTTTATAATTAAAATTATTTTTTAAAACTATCACCTAAATTGATGAACCTTGAAAACATTATGTTAAGTGAAAAAAGCCAGTCACAAAAGACCATATATCATGTTTCCATATATAGAAAATGTTCAGAATAGGCAAATCTATAGGAACACAAAGTAGATTAGTGGTTACTTAGGGCGGAGGAGATATGGGAAAGGAAATGGGGGAACAACAGCTAAAGGGTACAGGGTTATTGATCTAAAATTGACTGTGGGCCGGGCGCGGTGGCTCAAGCCTGTAATCCCAGCACTTTGGGAGGCCGAGGCGGGTGGATCACGAGGTCAAGAGATCGAGACCATCCTGGTCAACATGGTGAAACCCCGTCTCTACTAAAAATACAAAAAATCAGCTGGGCATGGTGGCGTGTGCCTGTAATCCCAGCTACTCAGGAGGCTGAGGCAGGAGAATTGCCTGAACCCAGGAGGCGGAGGTTGCGGTGAGCCGAGATCGTGCCATTGCACTCCAGCCTGGGTAACAAGAGTGAAACTCCGTCTCAAAAAAATAAAAAAATAAATAAATAAATAAATAAAATAAAATAAAATTGACTGTGGTGACAGTTGCACACATCTGTGAATAGACTAAAAACCACTGAATCATACCTTTAAATAGGTAAACTGTATGGTTTATGAATTATATCTCAATAAACCTGTTAAGAAAAAAACCTATCATCCTAATTATTTTCTTTTATGCCAACTGCAAATGGTAGTTGAGGGCAATAAAGCGTTCTGAGGCTACTGAAGCCATAAGTAGAGAGATATTCAAACAGTTAAGATGAGCTCTGCCAAGGAATTGACCTGGGCAGGTTTTCAATCAGGATTACAGAGTGCCCCAGACTGTGAAGTGTCTGATGTGATCCCAAACTCTTGGGTAAGTTTTATTATGATCTAGCAGTTCAAAGAGCAGATGTTCCATTACCTCTGCCACAGAATGGAATTCTGCAATTGGATTTCTGTTGGTAACAGAGGCAAAGTAACACACAAATTAACACTGCAAACATGTAATCAGCAAATAAGAGTATGGTAAACAGCTAAGCAATCAATACAAGAAGCTTTAATAATATGATCTGTATCAGGCTTCATGTTGTGGATAAAATATGTTAGGTGGAAGCATTCTGTAATTTTCACTTAAGTTTTGTGAGCAATTATTTAATAAGTAAAAAAGAATGAGGCAGATATACTTCTCCCTGAAACTCACCTGAAGTGCAGAGAGAGCCACAGCACCACAAAGACATATAAGTGGATATACAGGGAAAAGAAATCTCTCCTCTTTGTGAGGCTGGATGAAGAAAACCATAAACCAAATATACATTGGAGCCAAGGTAAGCCAATATGGGTGGCCTAAATTCTGAACTGCAAGACACAGAAAAATATCCACCTTTCAATATATTAGAACAAAACAACATATTTAGTTTCAGTGTTACCTTGATCTCAAATTTGAGAGTATGCCCTAGGACACTCCATAAAATGTTTCTACTCCTGTATTCACACTTTCTCCAATGCAATAAAGGCATCAAAAGGAAAGAGGAACATAATCCTTAGCTCTCCCGAGATCTAAACTCTAACAGCGGCACAATACTAGATTGGTGAGGACACAGATGAACGTCAAGTTAATGGCTAATAGAACTTAATAAATTCTACATTGGCTGAAGAAAATGCCGTCTCCTTTAACGAGTCCTGCCACTAAGATGAAAGGTTCGTGAGATTAACCAAAAGCATAACATAAACTCATTTCTTGGGTTTTAATGCTGATGTTCTGTTTAATACATGAATCCTCTTATCTATACACCAGTCTGTACAAATAGCCATTGATCAAAGGTAAAAAAATTGTTGGATTCTCAAACTCATACTGGTTTCCATCAAGCCACAAATGACAGTTTGTTTCAAAGGAAATATAAAAATGCTCTTAAAGGAAGTTTAGTGATTGTTTTCTCTCCATTTTTTGCAATACTCATTCACTCTGCGTCCCCAAATTGGAACAAAAAGGTACTTAAAGCAAGTGAAAGAATTAAAGGAATGTAATGAACACTAAAACCCAAGAACCTGCTGGAACGTTCCTGCAGTTAGGTATATGAGCAATGAGTGATAGGCCTGCAACCCACAGTGAAGGCATCTCCTACTGTGTTTACATGAGCGTTAATGAGCAACGCAAATGCAGGCAAATGGTAGATAGACAGCGCCCCCTGGTGTCCACTATGTCAACAGCAGGCTAGTTTACAAGATCATGACCATCATCGAGAACCACTTTATGCCTAACTTAGCATTCCTAGGTTATCAGTATCACTGAAAAAATTATTTGGGGATAAAAGTTCTTGAAGTACAATAATAAGATTATTTTTTCAACCTTTTCTCTAAGATTTTATCATGGGATTTTAGATAATTTAGGATACGTAACTTTCTAAGTAGCGTATTTTAAAGGGGAGATATTTTTTCTTTTTTTTTGGAGATGGAGTCTCACTCTGTTGCCCAGGCTAGAGCACAGTGGCACGATCTCGGCTCACTGCAACCTCTGCCTCCCAAGTTCAAGCGATTTTCCTGCCTCAGCCTCTCGAGTAGCTGGATTTACAGGTGTGCACTACCACACCCGGCTAATTCTACTTTTAGTAGAGATGGAGTTTCACAATGTTGGCCATGCTGGTCTTGAACACCTGACTTCAGGTGATCCACCCGCCTCGGCCTTCCAAAGTGCTGCAATTGCAGGCGTGAGCCCCTGTGCCCGGCCTAAGGTGGGGTTTTTAGTGGAAGATTATAAATCCTTTTATTGTCCACAAGTAAACAGTCCTTTTCTCTTCTGTACCTTAAAGGCTAACAAGTAATCTTTTTTTTAATAAGGCAAATATTTTGAAATGTCCTCTACAAAATATACAAAATCACAACCACAGCTAGATATGATTGAATCATGGGTAATTTCTTTCCTGTTTCTTTATAATTTTCTATGGTTTGGGGAGTTCTGTTTTGTTTTTTCTCGAGACAGGGTATCACTCTGTCACCAAGGCCGGAGTATAGTGGCACAACCATGGCTCACTGTAGCCCTGACCTTCTAGGCTTAGTGATCCTCCCACCTCAGGCTCCCAAGTAGCTCAGACTACAGGTGTACACCACCATGTTCAGCTATTTTTTTTTAGTTTTTTGTAGTAACAGAGTCTCACTATCTCATCCAGGCTGGTCTTGAACCCCTGAGCTCAAGTAATGCTCCCACTTCATCCTCCCAAAATAATGGGATTATAGGCATGCACCACCATGCCTGGTCTTTTTTCTTTTAAAAAAGTATTGCTTCTATTGTAAAATCACATAAAAATCTAAAGAAAAAAACAAAAAATGTTCATTTTCTTATTAGGTAGATATGTACATATGTTATACATTTTAAACCAATATTTTATACTTAAAATTATATACTGCAGAGAGCAGCTTAATGTCCTGTTTTGTTTTGTTTTTTACGTATAAGCATTTCCAAGTTTTCCACAAGCATAAATAATTATTATTGTTATTTTTAAAAATAGAGACACAGGTCTCACTATGTTGCCCAGAGTGGTGTCAAACTCCTGGCTCAAGCAATCCTTCCACCTTAGCCTCTCGGGCAGCTGGGACTATTAGGCACTTGCCACTGCTCTCAGCTATCATAAATTATTTTTATAGTCAGAAAAACAGCTATTTTCAAAAAAAGAATAAGTGATCCTTAAGAAATAGAAGGGATAGAGGAATAAGTTAACACCTCAAGGAAGCAAACAGCTGAGTCTAAAATGTGGGACATTATGCAAGATGATGGCCTGGTTTCTTTAAAGAAATATTTGGAAGAAAAAAAGTAAGATAGGGGTCTTCTTAAAAAACTTAAGAAATATAACACTAAATTCAGTGTGAAACCCTTACTGAGATTCTGCTTTAACCTAACTATAAAAGGCTATTTTTCAGACAATCTAGGAAATCAACTGGTTATCAGATGATATTAAGAAATTATTGATAATTTTGTTAGGATAAGGGCATTATGGTTATGTTGAAACAAGTCTTAATACCAAAAAAAAAGTGACTCTGAAGGCTGCTCTAATATTCTTATAACACAATGAACTCATTATAAACCATTAATAGTAGAAAAGCAGAATGGAGGTGGGATGGGGGAACTGATCATATGGCATCCAAATCAGACTGAAAAGTCTGAAATTAAATCTTTTTCCAAATCTCATATGAATTTCTGCTCAAATCTGTGTTCCATAAAAGAAATGAGAGGCACTAGATATCCAGAGCCACGACAACTTGAGAAAACACCAGCTGTGCACTACAGAATCAGAGCAAGCAAAGCAAATGACAAACCGAACTTTCTCCAAAAAGGCAGACACAGAAACAAAAGGGAACAAAGAGAAGCATCATGCTTCTGAGGAAGCTCAAAGCTTCTCTTACTTTAGTATCGAATTTGGGGAAATCCTGGTATGGTTCAGATTTTATACTTTTGTTTGAAGTACCATCCCGTGAATTACCTTAATCAACCTACCAGGCTAATACACACTTCTTTAAAAGATAGAAAACACAAATAGCCTTGTTCTCTTCTGAGGTTTTTCTTTTCCTTTTTTTTTTTTATTTTTGAGAGGGAGTCTTGCTCTGTCACCCAGGCTGGAGTGCAATGGCACAATCTCGGCTCACTGCAACCTCTGCCTCCTGGGTTCAAGTGATTCTCCTGCCTCAGCCTCCTGAGTAGCTGGGACTACAGGCATGTGCCACCATGCTCGGCTAATGTTTTGTATTTTTAGTAGAGGCGGTGTCACTGTGTTAGCCAGGATAGTCTCAATCTCCTGATCTCAAATGATCTGCCCACCTTGGACTCCCAAAGTGCTGGGATTACAGGAGTGAACCACGGTTCCCAGCCTCTTTCTGAGGTTTTATAAATATTTTTACCTCCCTGGGTGATTGTGTAAATTATACTGACTTCCTCACTTAAAGCGATAATGAAGCTCTTCCTCTTGTTAATTTGTCACAATTAACCAAATCTTCACAAAGGTTCAACTGATCAACAAATACAGACTGAAAATCCAGTAAGCCCAACATTTCTATAGGGAGAATGTGGAAAATAAAACAAGTTGGATTTTCCTTCAGTTCTTGGTATACATCATTACTTGCTCTTTCCCCCAAAAGAACCTACCGTCTCTTATGCCACTCACCATGAAATCTCTGCAGCAGGTATTCCATAAGAGAAGTCAGTGGTAGGACTAGAAGAGCCAAAGCAAAGGCTACATTGAAATTCAGAAATCCATTAATTAAATAGAAATACCAGGGTTCTGTACCTAAGAGAGACATAAGGTAAGAAATCATTAGTGGATGCCCTTAATACCTATTACGGTGCCTGACATATAACGTTCTTTGTTCGAGTAACACTGATGACCCTAGGCCTCATGGGAATGAGAATCCTCTTCCCGTGCTAAGCCACACAAAAGAAGCACAAGAGCAGAAGATGGAAGAGAATGGGACTGGTCACAAGGATTTAGGTAGAAATCAAGTGATAGTTAGCTGTATTTTCTATACTGACCACTATATCTAGCCCAAATTGCTATGCCCAAATGGAACTAATACTTTTGAGAACTACCAAATAATTTAAATAACTTTAGAGCCACATAGGGCTAATATAATAAAACTGCCATTTCAATTTAACTACTCTCTCAACATTGTGCAGAAAGGAAAGAGTGATAAGAGAACTTAGTTTGTGGCTGGGTGTGGTGGCTCATGCCCGTAATCCCAGTTCCTGGGAAGGCAGAGATGGGAGGATTGCTTGAGCCCAGGAGGTTAAGGCTGCAGAGAGCTGTGGTTGTGCCACTGCACTCCAGCCTGGGTGACAGCGAGACCCTGTCTCAAATAAAAATAATGAACTTAAGTTTGAGTTATTCAGGCCTCTCCCATTGTGTTTTCACCTGCTTGTTCCATTTACATTCTAGGAACTTTCCCCTTGATATGCTCAACCACTATTCTATAGTCGTGTACATTGGGCAACACGTGTTTGGTAAAAAGCAACAACTTGTTTTTCTTAGATCATGTTCAGAGACCCGGGTCTTGTTCAGAAGCTTTGAGGATTCAGAATGAAGCAAAATCACTAAAAATACAAGCCTCTCTTCCACTAGTTTTGATTCTTTAACTCAAAATCCTTACACCCAAATGATGAGAAACAGCCCCCCTCTGCACATTTAGCAGGTTTTTCATCTGCTTTTTCCCTCTGTATGATTACTTCAATCAAGCAGTGAATGACACATGCGGGTTTTAATCACTGTGTGTTGTGACACCCGCCTTGCACCATAGCAATTTCCTGCAATCAGCACTGCTTAAAAGGGTAATCAGAAGGCAGAGGAATAGTCAGAAAAACCTAACATTCTTGCAGCTTGCACAGCAAAATAAGATTAGAAACCAAACCCATAATGCTAGAAACATTTAGGGGAGAAGTAAGAGGGAGAGAGGTTACACTAAAGAAGAGTTTAAGTTCAACTGTGTGTCACCTTTGGGGGAGCTCGCTCCTTCCTGTCTAAATACAATGATGGAAATTATTCATGAACAGAGGTTCTATTCCAGGCCCATTTCATTATGGACACTTTAATCTTGTACTCTTAACAAAAATGCATTTGGGTTACAGAAAACTAATGGATGGTTTTATTCTCAAATCAAAAATGTCTTCTCTGAATCTCAATTAAAATTTCACAACATATTTTTTAAACTAAGTCCTTTAGGATCCAGTTTCCAGAGAGGTAAGCTTTTGCACAATCCTCTCCTGACCACCAGTGTGGAGGCAGTGCTAGCAACCTCTGACTCGCCTTTTTCTTAACAGGATTCTGGAAATCTGAGCCTGTGAAGAAAAACCACAGAGTGACCAGAGAGAAAGGGGGTTATCTTTCACGTTATCTATTACAGATGTTAAGCACCAATAGGGAAAAAGCTACTTGTCTCTTTGATATTTGCAAATACAAATTGTTTTTTCAGGAAAGCACTTTAGCTTCCAGCAAATATCTGTCTCTAACACAATTTACGCACCCTCCTGTTAGAGCTATCTTTTTATCTAGGTATACTGTACTCTGAGATGAGGAAACAAAGGTATTAAGTTGGTAAACACAATCATTTTTATGTGTTGTGAGCTCATAAATCAAGTTTCCAAATAGGTCGTGAACATTTCGTAATAGACTGTTATTTCCCTGAAAGATGGAGCAAAAATTGGGGGATAAGCCAATAGTGAAGAAGGTTGAAGTATCAACAGTCTTAAAAACAAGGGCAAAAGGGAACAAAAAGAGTGACTTCTATTAGCCAGAGTCCTCCCCTGCTTGATGGCACATCTGCCTTAGGAAAGAAAAGGGTACAAACTTTTATCTCTTTCCAGGGAGATATTCAATGCTGCTGCTCAGAAAACATTAGAGCTGAACTATGCAAAAAAAAAAAAAAAAACACGTCAGAATGACAAGCTAAGCGCTAAACTGGTGCAAGATGTTTAGGTGAAGGAAAGCTGGCAGCAGGGTCTCTGCAGGGAGTGACTCACCAATCTTCCTCTTTATGGAAAGTGCCTTAAGTCCTCTCAGTCAAATGAGCTAAGGGGAGCTTTCAACGAAGCTAAAAGAAGGGATAATGTTTACTGCTCCATAGATTGAATGAAGGAGAACTACTTTCCAGAATTATAATTTTATAGAACTGTAGGCACTAAATCATAGTAAATCATCCTTATAAATGTTAAATTTGTACCACCAAGAGGGAAAAGCCACTAAAGTTCAACAGAAATGATTAATAAAAGAGGAAAGGCTCTAGAACAGTTCTGGCTAGCAGTGAATTCTAAGCAGGACTGATAAGACCCCACTGGGGTTTCTTCCCTTGCCTCTGCAATTATGGAAACCTGTGGGCCTCCTAACAGAGGGCATTTGCCTTTATCTTCCAAAACTTTCCATCCAGTGATCAGATGGATGTTGATAAAACACATAAACAGGCAATGGGATCCTGTCCTAAGCTGCAAAGTGGCATCCTGAGCAGACTGTTCTTTTTGAGGGAAAAGCATTTCCTCTAAGTGTCCTCCCATGCCTTCTCCAGGCCTGTGCACTCTTCATCAGAGAGCACCACTCCTCACTCACCAGACAAAAATACTTGCCAACATCAATATCTGAGAACTTGAAATGTTATGAGAGGCAAAATCAGTGCGAAGACCAATCACTTTCTTTTCCGCAACATTAAGTTTTACCTCTTCATCTCTGACTCCACAGAGATATTTTGCCTAAGACTTGGCAACTCCAGTCCACCCTATTCTAAATTTTCTCAGTGCCAAGTCTTCTGTACCTTATCCAAACACTCCTTCTTTGTTCAACAAAAGGGTCTGGTACAGCACTCCCATGTAAAGGAGAATTTGCCAGTGTGCATGCCACTCTGCCACCCAAGCTCACTAGGGGCTCCCGATCACTCCAACCCAAAATGCATAAACCTTCACAGGTATAACTTTCCAACTATCCTATAGATTGGATCCTATCTTCTACCACCCTTAATTCATGCTCTTTGTTTTTGCAAGTTTATTCTCTGGTAACGTCTTAGTAGCCAAACTCCAGAGTTTTGCTAAGGGTCTTGTTTTCAGTGGAAATACAGGCTTTGAAGTCAGACAACTCTTATCCCACTTTTGCTACTTATTTAATAATGTGGCAAATTCCTCACCATCTCAACCTCAGTTTCTTTATCCAGGAATAAAGATAAATAATGCCTGTCTCACAGAATTTTTATGAGGGGAAGAAGATGGTATGTGAATAACTTCTGGCAAACAGTAGGCCTTCAATAATCAGGTGATATTGTAATTAACATCTTTGAAAATTTACTCCTGTTATTTCCCCTGGCTTCAAACGAAAGGTGTCAGCTCAAGCCTGGAGCGTGTCACTACTACATGCTACGCAGCCAGGAAAGTATAGAAAGGCCCCTTTGAAAACCAGGAACAGTTCATGACCAGTCTGACCTGACCAACATGGAGAGACACTGTCTCTACTAAAAATACAAAATTAGCCAGGCATAGTGGTGCAAACGTGTAATCCCAGCTACTCAGGAGGCTGAAGCAGGAGAACCGCTTGAACCTGGGAGGTGGAAGCTGCAGTGAGCCAACATCGCTCTATTGCATTCCAGCCTGGGCAACAAGAGCAAAACTCCATCTAAAAAAAAAGAAAGAAAAAAGAAAAGAAAACCAAGAACAATAGAGACGGTAAATGTTTATATGACTGTAACTACAATGGAGTGATTGAAATGATCTTGCTCATGTCTGAATAGTTTCTACCTAAAATTCAACCAATGCTATAAAAATAAGTTTTTATATTTGACATTCCATTTGTCAGAAATGCAACACCCTAACATTTACTAAGGAAACTCCTACTCTTTCTTCCAGGCTCAGCTCAAGAGCCACACCTTTCTTGACACTACCAGAGGGACTTGCTCCTATGATTCCCTATCTTTCCCCATAGCACCTGTAAGACACTGTCCTGCAATTACCTATTTGTGTGTCTGCAGCCTCATTAGACAGTAAATCCTATGAGGACACAAGATTAATGCTCAAGAGCAAGGTACTTAATGTTTCTTTTCTTTTTTTTTTTTTCTGAGACAGTGTCTCACTCTGTTGCCTAGGCTGGTATGCAGTGGTGCAATTTTGGCTTACTACAACCTCTGCCTCCTGGGATCAAGCAATTCTTGTACCCCAGCCTCCCAAGTAGCTGAGATTGCAGGTGTGTACCACCATGCCCAGCTAATTTTTGTATTTTTAATAGAGACGGGGTTTCACCATGCTGGCCAGACTGGTCTCAAATTCCTGGCCTCAGGTGATCTGCCCACCTCAGCCTCCCAAAGTGTTGGGATTACAGGAGTGAGCCACTGTGCCAGGCCTTCAATGTTTCTTTAACTGAAGTCCATTTGTCCATCCATTCAGGAAATATTAACAGTTGCGGGTGGATCACGAGGTCAAGAGATTGGGACCATCCAGGTCAACATGGTGAAACCCCGTCTCTACTAAAAATACAAAAAATTAGCTGGGCTTGGTGGCATGTGCCTGTAATCCCAGCTACTCAGGAGGCTGGGGCAGGAGAATTGCCTGAACCCGGGAGGCAGAGGCTGCAGTGAGCCGAGATTGTGCCATTGTACTCCAGCCTGGGTAACAAGAGTGAAACTCCATCTAAAAAAAAAAAAAAAGAAATATTAACAGGGTTAGTATATTCTTATACATGAGAAATAGCACTAAAAGATGTATACAAAAACTATAAGCACAATGCATTTTATTCCTGTTTTAAAATTTTTTTTAAGTTCCAGGGTACATAGGTAGGATGTGCAGGTTTGTTACACAGGTAAACATGCACCATGGTGGTTTGCTACACCTATCAACCCATCACCTAGATATTAAGCCTGGCATGCATTAGCTATTTTTCCTGACGTTCTCCCTCCTTCTACCCTCTTCCACAGGCCCCAGTGTGTGCTGTTCCCCCTCTCTGTGTCTACGTGTTCTCATTGTTCAGCTCCCACTTATAAGTGAGAACATGCAGTGTTTGGTTTTCTGTTCCTGTTTTAGTCTGGCTTTCAGCTCCATCCATGTCCCTGCAAAGGACATTATCTTGTTACTTTTTATGGCTGCATAGTATTCTATGGTGTACATAGCACAATGCATTTTTAATTTTCAGATAAGAAACTGTGTATCTAACATAGCTAATGAGGCACCTGGAGCAGGGGACTCTTGTAAAATGCCAAAATAATGCTAAATAATGCCCAACATGTAATAAAGTGCAAGAGCTAGTATTTCTAATACAAAAAACATGCTATCTCACTGTCTGACAATTTTACTGCATCAAAACATCTAGTAAAAGACAGGTCTTTTATATTTACTGGACTCACCAATTATAATAAAATTAGCTGACAATCATAAAGTACTTTTTGATTTAAAAAGTATTTTATTGGGCTGGACATGGTGGCTCATGCCTGTAATCCCAGCACTTTGGGAGGCCAAGATGGGTGGATCACGAGATCAGGAGATCGAGACTATCCTGGCTAACACGGTTAAACCTGTCTCTACTAAAAACACAAAAAATTAGCTAAGCATGGTGGCATGTGCCTGTAGTCCCAGTTACTCAGCAGGCAGAGGCAGAGGAAGATGAATCACCTGAACCTGGGAGCTGAGATTGTGCCACTGCACTCCAGCCTGGGTGACAGAGCAAGATTCTGTCTCAAAAAAATAAAAAGTATTTTATTTATATCTGTTATATTATTTTTATTTGGTGTCAAGAAAATCTCAAGCTAGCACCACAACAGGTCTAACTAAAGTGATTCTAGGATACAACAGTAAATGACACACTAATGTAACCCAATGGATACTCCAGAATTCATCCATTCATTTATTCTTGACAGATCTTTACTGTAAATCTGGGATACACAAGGAATTCCTACTAAGATGGAAGAAGTATTCTCTCTGCAGGCTTTCTAAATCAAAAAGGAGTCAACACTCTAAAAGAATGGAAATCAGGCTGGGCATGGTGGCTCATGCCTGTAATCCCAGCACTCTGGGAGGCTGAGGCAGGAAGATCATGTGAGGTTAGAGTTTGAGGCCTGCCTGGCCAACATGGTAAAATCCCTGTCTTTAATAAAAATAAAAAAATTAGCCCGGTGTGGTGGTGGGTGCCAATAATCCCAGCTACTCAGGAGGCTGAAGCAGAAGAAGAGTTTGAATCTGGGAGGCAGAGGTTGTGGTGAGCCAAGATCATGCCACTGCACTCCAGCCTGGGTGACAGAGCAAGACCCTGTCTCAAAAAAAACCCAAAAAAACGAAAAGAATGGAAATCAGACAAATTTCTATTTTTTTTTTTTTTTTTTTTTTACCAAATTCAAAGATGAAGTAAGAGCACAAAAATCCTGCCATGAAGGAATAACTCCCTGAAGTCTGGCTGACGGCAGCACTGTATCAGTCCTGTTCATGGTTGGTATGCCAATTCTCTCTGTTTCAACAAAGTTTTTGCTACCACTAGGAAAGTGATCAGTTTTTGTACATCCAAAATAGCAAAATCTGAACTGAAGCTACCCCAGGTTCATTAAAGTAGGCAGAAAGAAGTCCCAAGGACTGTTTCCCAGTAAAATGCTGACTGAAATGAGCAGCAAATGCCAATGTCCCAGGAAAGACTGGTCACTGCTCTACTGGATCTCAAAACCTACTACAGGGGTTCCTGATTGACCCACTATTAAACTAGCATTGTAAACTTAAATCAGAATTTACTCCTTCTTTCCTACTTTCCCTACCAGCCTGATTATTCCTAGATTTAAGAGCTTCATCCCTGGGCACAGTGGCTCACGCCTGTAATCCCAGCACTTTGAGAGGCTGAGACTGGCAGATTACCTGAGGTCAAGAGTTGGGGACCAGCCTGGCCAACACGGCGAAATCCTATTGCTACTAAAAATACAAAAATTAGGTGGGTGTGGTGGTGAGCACCTATAATTCCAGCTACTCAGGAGGTTGAGGCAAGAAAACTGCTTGAACCAGGAGGGGAGGTTGCAGTAAGTCGAGATCACGCCACTGCATTCTAGTCTGGACAACAAGAGTGAAACTCCGTCTCAAAAAAAAACAAGAGAGATTCATCAATCTAGAGGGACATAAACAATCTGTCACTTTTATAAGTCTCTCACAAAAGGTTTTATAAATAAGGAGTTAGAATATTGATAAGCCATTATAAAGGTAAAGAAGTCAACTTTTCAAGATTAACACAAATAAACTCAATTTATTCACAGAGTGGATATTGTGTTTCCAATAGGCTTTCTGTGAAACGATTTCTACCATGCAATCTAGATCTAAGACCTTTGATTGTCTTGTGAAATAGAATACAATTTTACAAGTAAACTAAAACATGCGGCGATCAGAAACATGCAAACTCTCCCTAGCTAACGGGAGACATCTAGAGGCAAAAGCTTAAACTGGGGTCTTTTCTCACATTCTTAGGGATCCTAGGGCCATAAAGGAGTAATTATTCGCTAACTGTGAAGTTTGTGAATTCAATCCACTGAACAAAGCACTTTTTATTTTAACCCATTACTTGTCATTTAGAATAATATTCCCAAAACTCCAGGAGGCTCAATTAAATCTCATTCATATTCTTACTTTAAATCTCCCTATTCAATCTGTTCTATTGGCAAAATGGCACAGGCAATTGATGGACATGGCTAGTGATAAGACTTAAATTGATAGGAGTACAGTTAGACACAATCTTAACCTGCTTCATAGCAGAACCCCAAAGCAAGCACTTATACAGAATGATCCAAGACCTCAAAAAATTAAGGCAGAAGAGACTATAATTATTTTAATGAAAAACTGCCTCTCTTGTGAAATGTTTGCTGACTTGGCTGATTTGATCCAAAAGATCTCTAGTTCATCCCACCGTAACTGTAACTAACTCAAATGCCTTCAGGGGCCAAATGAAACTCGCTGGTAGAGTGAAAGGCATCAGGGAAGGAGTGGAGATGGGTAAATTGAAGACTGCATCCCCAGATTAAAGACATTCCATTTTTTCTCTTAACCCTAAGCTGGTCAACTTCCCCACCCTCCCATGCTGACCCCAGCCCAGCCCCATTTGCTGTAACTTTGTCTAGAGATTTTCCAAACTTTCTCCCCTTATGCTTGAATTGAAGTAAAGCAAATCTGGAAAAGAAAAAGTAACATCAAATGTGTGTATATATAGAAAATGTCTGGGCCGGGCGTGATGGCTCATGCCTGTAATCCCAGCACTTTGGGAGGCTGAGGTGGGTGGATCACCTGAGGTCAGGAGTTCAAGACCAGCCTGGCCAACGTAGTGAAACCCCATCACTACTAAAAATACAAAAAAATTAGCCAGACATAGTGGCAGGCACCTGTAATCCCAGCTACTAGGGAGACTGAGGCAGGAAAAGTGCTTGAACCTGGGAGGTGGAGGTTACAGTGAGCCAAGATAATGCCATTGTACTCAAGAGTCAAACTCCATCTCAAAAAAAAAAAAAAAAAAAATCTGAAGTAACCTCCCAGGTGTTAGTAATGGAGATTATTAACTCCCAGGAGTTATATGGAGATGATTGCATTATATTTTTATTTTCTTCTCCTACCATACTGGTTTTTTATTAAGAAGAGAAAAAAGTAACTTTTAATTTTTAAAAAAAGCAGTATCAAAAGCCATGGCATGCCCAGAGTCCTCAAAACTCTGAAAGTGAAAATAACAAACAGGAAAAATAAAAAGCCAGTATTGGAATATCACATTAATCAAGGGAAATATTTGAGTGGCTATGTGTCATCATTGTGCTGTACTCAGGAAAAGATGGTATCAGCAAAGAAATGCTGTATTAATGAAATGAGGCAACTGAATTAAAAATTTTAAGTTCAGGCAAATTAAGCTATCTCCTAACACTTCCGTAAATTTCACAAAGCTTACCATAAAGATCAGGTCCATGAGGAGTAAAGACATTATACAAAACAATGTTGAGTGGTGCAATCACCAACTTCCCATAATAGTAGCTGTCAATGACCACCACAGGCACCTAAAACAGAGCAGAAAATAGTTTTGCTCTGGAAACATTCTCAAAATGCTAACAGGATAAACCTGAGAATGAAAAACAGAATAAACTCCTAATGTTCCTTTTTCACATCAAAGTTGCTTTCATTACAACTTTAGGACAAAACAAGAAGAAAAGAAAACTCACCAGAAAGAGTATGAGGGCCACCAGTGACCAATAAAAGAAACTCTTCCACCTGTGTTTCATGACCATCAAATCAAAGGCAATGGGTAAACTATTTAACACAGAAACAGAGAGTGGGGAGTTAAATAAATACTGACAGGTCAGATTCACACATACCTCATGATGAACTGAGAATAAAATGCCTCTTCCAGTTATACTGAGGGAAGAAACCTGGTATGTGAGAGGATGTCCTCACAGGACCCATCAGAGTGCTCTGTATCCCATGGATGCATAAGAAATATAATTACTGAGCTGCTGGAATCAATTCCATTTTATACACATTTATGTGTAACAGACATCTAAAATATATTATTAAGTATATGTATCCTACTGTCTTACACCCACCCTGCCAGATAAGTAAGTACTGACTTCCCCCTTCCGTGATTTACAGGATTTCCAGGATTTTAGCAATATAACGTTATTATAACTTTTCCCTTCCATGATTTACAGGATTTTAGCAATACAACGTTATTACAGACTTTTTTTTTTTTGAGACCGGGTATCACTCTGTTGCCCAGGCTGGAGTGCAGTTGCGTGATCTTGGCTCACTGCCACCTTCATCTCCCAGGTTCCAGCATTCTCCTGCCTCAGCCTCCCGAGTAGCTGGGATTACAGGTGTGTACCACCACACCTTGCTAATTTTTTTGTATTTTTAGTAGAGATGGGGTTTCACCATGCTGGCCAGGCTGGTCTCAAACTCCTGACAGGTGACCTACCTGCCTCAGCCTCCCAAAGTGCTGGGTTTACAGGCATGAGCCACCACGCCCGGCCTTATCTTTGAATTTATATGGCATCATTATATCTATCATTTATTTAGCAATGTCATGTGCTGTCACAGTATCTCTTCTGTGATTTGAACCTCCATGTTGTTATGTAAATTCTGCATTAATGTTTTATGTTTTTTTGGTCACCCCAACTACTTCCATTTCTATAGCACCTGTATTTCTCCTTTGATAAGTCATACTTTTAATTACTTGTCCAATCTCTGTCTTTCTACTAAAATGTTAAGTTCCAAAAGGGCAGGAACCATGACTGTCTAATTTCCAAAATATCAGCAGAACCTAGCACAAAGCATTCAATGAATGATGGTATATTGCTAACTGACTGATTGTGATCCTGAAATCACTTATCTCAGCAAAGGCAGACTCATCAAAACATGTCACTCGAGTATTTGAGGAACTCAGTGAAATTCAATGTAGATGGAATAGAGAATGAAAGGAATGAAAGAACTGATGAAAAGAAGCTGGAGAAGTAAAAGCAAGATCATGCAGGGCTTCGTGTGTTAAATCTTTGAGTGTGGATACCATAGAGCAGGGGTTGGCAAACTTTTTATTTAAAGGACCTGACAGTATACATTTTAGGCTTTGCAGGCCACATATATTATCTGTTGCATAGTCTTCTCTCTCTGTGTATATGTTTGTTGTTTTTAAAAAACCCTTTAAAAATATAAAAACTATTTAATTATTGGGCTGTACAAAAACAAGCCAGTCAGCCAACATCTGTGACATAAAGCAATGGAGAAGCTACCATAGAGTTTAAAACAGGGAGGTGATACAACTGTATCTGCATTTGAGTAACATAACTCTAGTTTGAGTTTGGAGGGCAGATTTACAGGAGTCAAGACTAGAGATGAGGAGATCATTTAGGAGGCTGTGTAGTAATCCAGGAACAGAGGGGAGTGAAGAAAAGTAATCAGATTCAAAAGATATTTAGGAGACACAATAAATTAACAGGAGTGGGAAAGAGAGGAGAGTCACAAACAATTTTCAGGTTTCTGGGTCAGTAATTGGGAGATGGTAGTACTATTTACTGGGATAGAAACACAAGTAAAGGAACAGCTATGGAGAGAAGATAATGAATTCGGTAGCTATCTAATAAGCAACTGGGAATATATAAATGAAGCTAAAGAGAGATAATTGGACTAGACATTAAGATATGGAATCACCTTCATGTTGGAGAGATGGAAAAAAAAAAAGGACATGGGAATCACCAAGATGATGGAGAGAGAAGAAAGTACAGAATAGGGCCTAAGATAAAATTCTGAGGAATATGAAAATTTGAGAATATGCAAAATAGAATAGAAGGAAGAAATGGAGGTGAGGAAACCAGCCTTTAAAAGGCAATTAAGAAAATTAAAAATGGCCTATTCTTTTAGTAACTACCCTTATAAAAATTTACCCTACAGGGTGTGGTGGCTCACTCCTGTAATCCCAGCATTTGGGGAGGCCAACACAGATCACGACGTCAGGAGTTCGAGACCAGCCTGACCAACATGGTGAAACCCCATCTCTACTGAAAATACAAAAATTAGCTGCATGTGGTGGCATGCGCTTATAATCCCAGCTACTCAGGAGGCTGAGACAAGAGAACTGCTTGAACCCAGGAGGTGGAGGTTGCAGTGAGCCAAGATCATGCCACTGCACTCCAGCCTGGGCAACAGAGCAAGACTCTGTCTCAAAAAAAAAAAAAAAAAGTTCACTAAAGCATTGAGTATAACAGTAAAAAAACGAAAAGCAAATGTCTACCAATAAGGCAATAATGACGTAAATCATGGAATGCTATACAACCAATATAAACAATGATATAAATTTATTAACATGTAGAAGACATATATATAAACGGAATAATTCCCATTTGTTTTAAGAACGTAGATAGATATGTATACATATATTTATACACACAGGATAATTTTTCTGGAAAGATATACACCAAAATATTAGCACTGACTATCTGTGGATTGAGCTAGAGGAGAAGAAAATTCGAAATTATTTTAACCTTGGCCAGGTGTGGTGGCTCACGCCTGTAATCCCAGCACTTTGGGAGGCCAAGGCGGGCAGATTCACAAGGTCAGGAGATCGAGACCATCCTGGCCAACATGGTGAAATCCCGTATCAAAAAAAAAAAAAAGAAAGAAATTATTTTAACCTCATACAATCTGGTACTTACTTTTTGTTATAATATACTTCTAAAATAACCTTAACATCAGATTAAAATATTTTTCTAAATTACTCATGGTACAGGTAAGAAATTAAGGCGGCACACACTAGAACAGAAGTAGTGGGAACAAAGAGTATAGAAAGAACTTGGGGGGAAAAATGCTGGGGGCAAGAAAGAAGGAAAACTGGAGGAAATTCAGATTTCAAAGCTGAGTGAATGAAAAACTGCACAGAACAGGGTGGTGCCATGTGAAGAAAACATCAGCTGTAGAGTCAAAAAGGCCTGGATTCAAAAGCAAACATAATCTTAAAGGTAAATTCTTCAAACTCTTGGAGTCTGTTTTCTCATTTATAAAGCACTAATAATTTTATTTCTCCTGCAGAATTGTTGTAAGTTTCAAGATAAGGTTTACAAAGGGTTTCACTGTGCCTAACACATAGAAGATGCTCACTGGTCACTATTCTTTTTTTTTTTTTTTTTTTTAATGAATGAGAGGTTCTTATGTTGCCCAGGTTGGCCTTGAACGCATAGCCTCGCCTCCTCAAGCACCAGGACAACTGGCCTGAGCCACTGCGGCTCCTCACTATTCTTATTAGAATTAATCATAATAGTAAGTGCTAAGAGACATATTCTTCCATTTCCCAGAATCTTTGACAGCCCAATTGATTAACTTTAGATTCTATGCAGACAATATGGAGCTAATCCAACATTAACATTTACTATATGCCCAGAGATACGTGGGAGAAGGACTGTTCATTTCTTACCCAAGAGCTGCACTGAATGGCCAGCCTAAGATGGCCCCAGCTGCTACTCCCAGCACAGCAATGGAAGTCTTTTCCATATACCATCCAGTCATGGCTATCAACGTAGTGTACATACAGAAGCTACTAGGAAGGAATGCTGCAAGAGCGAAGAAGTGAAAAAAGGCGGAAGAACAAGAACTCAAGGTTAATTAGGTATCAATTAAAAACTGATTAAATGTAAATTTTGCAGTGTAAATATCGACATGGCAAATTGTCAATAACCAGGAACATATTTTGGGAAATGCTATATTAGAAAGGACAGCACAGTGATATTCCTTTTAAAAAAAAAAGAAAGTTCAGTGATTCTTAATTTCTCACTCCTGTTTTTTTTTTTTTTCTTTGTTTTTGGAATGGAGTCTCGCTCTGTTGGAGTGCAGTGGTGCGATTTCAGCTCACTGCAACCTCTGACTCCCTGGTTCTAGAGATGTTCCTGCCTCAGCCTCCTAAGTAGCTGGGATTACAGGTGTCCACCACCACTCCCAGCTAAATTTTGTATTTTTAGTAGACACAGCGTTTCACCATGGTGGCCAGGATGGTCTTGATCTCCTGACCTCATGATCCACCCGCCTTGGCCTCCCAAAGTGCTGGGATTACAGGCATGAGCCACTGTGCTCGGCCTCCCACTCCTGTTTTTTTAGGTACCAACCCAATTATACAATTCTAACCATGTAATTCCTCTCCCAGCCTATACCTCAAATAAAAAACTTACATAATTCCAGGGGCTCTAGGAACACCCCAGGATTATATTTCCAGGCAGGGAATATGCTTTAAAAGACTTAGAGGCACGGCTGACAATTTACTTCTGAAGAAGCTTATCTGCTGTTGGTCTTCTGAGACTGTCCTGGTCCTAACCTCTAGCCCCAGAAATTCTAGGAAGCCTCCTCAAGGGCCAGATATTGTATGGCAGCAATGCTTTGCATCCTCCATCTGCTGACACAGATAGTATGGCCTTTAGATAGTCCCCTAATTAGTTCCATCTACCTCAACCTTGTTGAATATAGCAGAGGAGAGAGTACAGGGTCTCTGCAACAATAACAATTGATTAAAGTGTTTCTAGTATCTCTGAACAGAAATGCAGATCTGCCTCTTTGCTGCAGAAAGTCTGATTCAGTAAGGAAGAAAAATCAGTATCAGCTACAAAAACAACCACAATTAATAGGCAGTGAGATTTTTTTAAACTCAGCACAGGGTTCAGAGTCTCTGTATGAAAAGATGCTTTCAACTTATCTGTGTCTCAAATTAGATTACAAAAACAAAGATACCCTCAGGAATTGCCTACATATAAAGATCAATTGTAGGAGCAGCAGACCAGGCACGGTGGCTCATGTCTTTAATCTCAGTACTCTGGGGGACAAGGTGGGAGGACTGCTTGAGGCTAAGAGTTTGAGACCAGCCTGGGCAACACAGTGAGACTCCATCTCTACAAAAAATTTAAAAACTAGCTGGGCATGGTGGTGCATGCCCATAGTCCTAGCTACTTGGGAGGTTGTAGTGGAAAGACTGCTAGAGCCCAGGAATTCAAGGCTGCAGTGAGCTATGATTGTGCACTGCACTCCAGCCCGCCTAGGTAAAGAGTAAGACCTTGTCACTTGAAAAGATTTTAAAAAAGAAGTAGCAAAGCAACTTAAAAAACATGTGAGGTACACCCTTTACCAATAAATGTCAAATAATAGTGATGCCATCCAAAGCTGTCAGTTCCAGCTGCCAGTGTAGAGGACAAAGGGAGCAGAGAAACCTGAGGGTAGAGCCAGATGCATTTAGGACAGGCTCTCAAAGTCATTCTGGAGTACAGCTCTGACATCTCTGCAAAACAACATCAATTTTGATATATTTAATAAGGGAAAAGTAAGTATATAATTTTGTGCCACATACTATGTTTTTGTGTATACTCAGTGTATATGCTAGATCCTGTTACATTCAAGCAGAAACTAAAATTGAGACAATTATATCCAGTAACTAAATTTTTCTGGAGAACTGGGAACAGACTACCATTTGGCAGTGGGGCACCATGACTCAGCTTATACAACACAAATGTTCAATGGCAGTACAGTTTGAAAATCAATGCTCTAGAGTAAGGTTTTTATTCTAAATTTCCAGAAGCTTATCTTTTAAAAAGCCCAATGGAAGATGCATATAGAATACATCTCAAATAATATATCATCAATAGAAACAGAGCCATCAACAACAACAAGGTCTTTATGTACAAATAGCTTCCTTAAACAAAATAAAAGAATTACTTTCTTTCCCCTAATGGTCAAGAAAGGAAGTGGGTGGTTGATACAAAAATGTAATATAAAGCATCCTGGTGAGACTATCAGCTTTACCATTTATGAATTTTGACTTTTAGTAAATCATTTCACCTATGTTTCAATGTCGTTACCAGCAAAAGTGAGAAAATATTTGTCTTACATGGTAGGATTGCTACAAAGGTCAATCAAGATAACGTAGATAACAGTGCTCTGCAAATTATTGACATATTCTACAATATAACCTACATTTGAACAAGTGTTTCCTTTAAATGCAACTATGAACTATTGGTGGCCGAGGGCGGTGGCTCACGCCTGTAATCCCAGCACTTTGGGAGGCCGAGGTGGGTGGGTCATGAGGTCAGGAGATCAAGACCATTCTGGCCAACATGGTGAAACCCCATCTCTACTAAAAATACAAAAAACTAGCTGAGCATGGTGGCGCATGCCTGTAGTCCCAGCTACTCGGGAGGCTGGGCAGGAGAATTGTTTGAACCTGGGAGGCGGAGGCTGCAGTGAGCCAAGATTGCACCACTGCACTCTAGCCTAGTGACAGAGCAAGTCTCTGTCTCAAAACAAAAACAAAAACAAAAAAAAACTATTGGTGAATCTGCAATTCCCTCATCTGCCCTTTTACTTACCTGATGATGAGCAAAACATGCCAGTGCTAAGAACCAAGAAGGCTAGCATCATTCGACTCACATGCAACCCAAACTTCTTGCACACAGCCCTAGGAAAAAGGCAAAGATTATTAGCATGAATTCAAATCAAAGGAGAAAAACATGCACCACAGGTAACACTGAAGATCTAAAGTCAAACACAAAACTACCTTGATACGTTTGTTAGCAATTCACTGTGCATAAGAAACCCAAACATTCTTATTTCTGACACAGAAGAGAAGCTCCCTACCTAAAAGAAAACATATTTTTTACATGCTAAGATTATATCTATCAAGTGGAAAACAGAATGATGTCATGAAAAATAAGAGATGGCAGATTCAGGTGGGCACACGTTCAAATTCTGGCTCTGCCACTTACTAGCAGTGGAACCTTACTCTAGTCGAATAATGTTTGATTCCTCATGCATGAAATAAGGATAATAAGTAACACAAACTTCGTAAGGTTTCTGTGAGGACAATGCATGGAAAGTGCTTAGGAGAGTACCTGGCACACAGTTGCTCAATAAATGGTAGTTGTCAGAAAAAAAGGCTAGGAGATAAATGAAAATGTGAATAAGTGATTATCTAAATCAGTGTTTGTCAAACTTAAGCAACTACATATCTTCTACTTCTTTCTTGTAGGTGTTAACCCCTCAAATTAAACATATTTAGGCATTATTACTGCTTCACTTAGTCAGTGTTTGTTCAGACATATCCATGTGTTAATCATTTCCTAGCTCAGATTCCTTACTGCATTTCAGAGCTTCTTCTGAAATAATTTTGTTTTTTCCTAAGTATCTCTTTTAGAAGTTCTTTTAGTGAGAATCTGTTAATGATAAATTCTGGTTTTTTGGTTGGTTGGTTTCCTTTCTTTTTTTTTCCTTTCTTTTTTTCTTTTCCCAGAGACAGGGTCTCACTCTCTGTCGCTCAGGCTGGAGTGCCGTGGCATGGTCATAGCTCACTGCATCCTTGAACTCCAGTGTTCAAGAGAATCTCCTGCCTTAGCCACCTGTGGCTAAGAGTAACTGTGACTACAGGCATGTGCCATTACACCCAGCTAATTTTTTGTAGAGATGAGGTCTTGCTATGTTGTCCAGGCTGATCTTAAATTCCTGGGCTCAAGCGATCCTCAATGATCCTCCTGCCTCAGTCTCCCAAAGCACTGGGATTACAGGCTTCTTTCTTTTTTTTTTCTTTATCTCTCTTCTATTTTTTTTTTTTTAACTGAAAAGTCTATTTAGCTCTTGGTCTTAAAAGATGGCTTAACCTAGTATACAATTTTAAGATAAGAGTTATTTTCTCTCAGCCTTTGAAGATACTCTTTTTTTGTTTTCTGGTTATTAAAGTCTTCTGTCAGTGTAACTGCCTAACACTCCTTTGTAAGTATTTTATTAGTTCTCCATCAACTTTTAAAATCTTTTTCTTTGTCCCTATTGTTTTACACAGTTTCACTACACTAAGTTTTTATGTATCTAGCTTGGAATATGTTGGGCTTACTAAATTTATGATTTAGCATCTTTTTTTCCCCATCAATTCTGGAAAATTCCCAGCTACTAATTCCCTGAATATTGCCTCTCCCTATTCTATCACCTCCTTCTACAACCTTATTAGATGTGTATCAGATCTTTAAACTCTGGCTTACATATTTGTGTGTGTGTGTGTGTGTGTGTGTGTGTGTGTGTCTGTGTGTGTGTCAGAGTCTTGCTCTGTTGCCCAGGCTGGAGTGCAATAGCGTAGTCTTGGCTCACTGCAACTTCCATCTCTTTGAGTTCAAAAGATTCTCATGCCTCCACTACCCAAGTAGCTGGGGCTATAGGCGTGCACCAACATGCCCAGGCAATTTTTTTATTTTTAGCAGAGATGAGGTTTCACCATGTTGGCCAGGTTGGTCTTGACCTCCTGACCTCAAGTGATCCACTTGCCTCGGCCTTCCAAAGTGCTGAGATTATAGGCATAAGCCACTGCGCTCAGCCATAGCTCACACATTTCTTAACCTCTTCTATATTACCTTTTTTTTTTGGTCTCTCTGTACTGCATTTTGAGTAATTTATTCAAATTGATCTTCCAATTTACTAGTTTACTCATCAGAATGTCTAATCTGCTGTTTAAGCTAACTACTGAGTTTTAAATAACAATTTTACATAAATATTGATATTACATAGTATTACATATTATATAATTCTTGTAAGTTCTGATTTTTTTTTTAATTTATCTGGTCATCTCGTTTCTTGTTCACATTTTCAGTTCTTTTACTTGTTTGAAAATACTAAATACACCTATTTTATGTTCCTATTTCCCAATATATGAAGTTTTTCAGGTCAACGTTCTATTGATTATTATTTCTGCTGATTCTCACTCATAATGTCTTGCTCCCTTCTGTGCTCTGTGATTTATTTTTATTATAATTTCTTGTTCACTAGAACTTTATCTCCGGTAATTTTCAAACACTTGGATTAAGGGTCCATATCTCTAGAGAAATATTTTGCCAGATGCCAGGGGCACTACCAACCCAGAATAATTTAAAATAAATTCTTGGGTGGGCGCGGTGGCTATGCCTGTAATCCCAGCAATTTGGGTGGCTGAGGCGGGCAAATCACAAGGTCAGAAGATCAAAAACAGCCTGGCTAACATGGTGAAACCCTGTCTCTACTAAAAATACAAAAAATTAGCTGGGTGTGGTGGTGCGCACCTGTATTCCCAGCTACTTGGGAGGCTGAGGCAGGAGAACTCCTTGAATCTGGGAGGCAGAGGTTACAGTGAGCCGAGATCACACCACTGCACTCCAGTCTGGGTGACAGAACAAGACTCTGTCTCAAATAAACAAACAAACTTCTCAGCTTAGGGCTTGAAGGACCATGCAGGTGATTTGAATTCAGGCCCAAACCCCTATGTTATGATTACAATCCTCAAAGGCAGCACTGGCTTTATTTTTTTTTCCTCTACTCCACTCATAGTCAAGGCCAAAGATTTTTTTTAATCTGACATTTTTAGCTGTAGGAAGATTTTTAATAATGATCATTAAGTCAAAATACCTTTAAATATATTACTAAAGCATTATTAAAATAAGACATTTGTTAGATATAATGAAAAACAGGTGGCTATTTTTATTACTGGGACACTTAAATGCTTAACAGTTCCAATTAATATTCAATCAACTGATAGGTACTTTGTGAAAGACAATATATTGGGTGCAAATAAGAGCAGTGAGTCCCACGCTGGGAGTAGTTTATCAACCAGGCTGTAGGGCAGAGGCAAATCATGATCCTATATCTTAGGACTGAAAATAGGGTGCAACTAAATCCTATCAAGTAAAGACCAGTTAGATACTTATTAACAGAATTAAAATGAATGATATGAGGATATGGTATTTATGAACCTCAGGAAAGAAAAAGGTAATTAGAAGTACAGTGTTCCTCTTCAACTGTTGGCTTCATACAAGAAGTCACACTTCAGATTTAATATCAGGAGCTACAAGTGATGGGTGCATCAAAATCTCAGAAATCACCTCTAAAGAACTTATCATGTAACCAAAAACCACCTGTATCCCAAAAACTATTGTAAGAAAAATAAAAATTAAAAAAATAAAAAGAGAAAAATAAATAAAAGAAGTTTTTAGTCTAGCCCTGCTGACCCACAACCCACCAACCCACAAATCAGTCTGGCTCCTCCAGCGTAACCGCTATGAAGAAAGTGGTTCAGGCTGGGTGTGGTGGCTCATGCTTGTAATCCCAGCACTTTAGGAGGCTGAAGCAGGCAGATCACGAGGTCAGGAGTTCGAGACCAGCCTGACCAACACAGTAAAACCCCAACTCTACTAAAAATACAAAAAAAAAAAAAAAAAAAAAATTTGCTGGGCATAGTGGCAGGAGCCTGTAATCCCAGCTACTCGGGAGGCTGAGGCAGGAGAATTGTTTGAACCTGGGAGGCAGAACTTACAGTAAGCCAAGATCATGCCACTGCACTCCAGCCTGGGTGACAGGGCTAGACTCTGTCTCAAAAACAAAGAAAAAAAGTAAAGAAAGTGGTTCAACAGCTCCGGCTGGAGGCCGGGCTCAACTGTGTAAAAGTTTCCCAGGCAGCTGCAGACTTGAAACAATTCTGTCTGCAGAATGTTCAACATGACCCTCTGCTGACTGGAGTACCTTCAAGTACAACTCCCTTAAGACCCCAGAAAGTCTGTTCCTTTTTGTATTAAAATGAATCTTTCAAAGGTTTTCCAAACCACTTCTTAGGATTCAGTAGATATTCAAAACAGTTAAATCTGAAGCCTGTACAAAGGCTTATCCCTGTAACACACGTGCCATAATATACAAACTTCTACTTTTGTCAGTCTAACATCTACTTCTCTGAATTTTCATGAATTTCTATCTATTTCACAAGGGTAACTGTTTTATATACGCTACCAGCAGCATACAATAAAACTTAGTATGGAAAAAAAGAAATTTGCTTTCCCAGATTAAAAAAAAAATATGTATAGTAGTATATCAGGGGCTAGAAGGAAAGTGTTTTCTATTTCTAATCACTGCCTAGACTATCACAAAAGATAATCTACGCAATAACGGGTTTCCTCATAGCACTTTTAGAAGCAAAACTTTTATACTCACTTGTAAAAGTAAAGTTCACAAATACAGCTCACAAAAGCCAGAAGACATCGCAAAAAGTAAAAGACAAGAATCTGAAAGAAATCCAGAAAAAGAAAACAGAAGTCACAGATATGAGCTAGAAAAACTCATAAACATGAACTGCTCTCATTTGTTGTCAATAACACTGTAAACTACTATAATTCTTTTGGAAAACAATATGGATCAAGAATTTTCATATCCCTTGACTCAATATCAGTATACCTACTTCTATCACACCAGCTGGTGGAGGTTGGAAGGTGGAGCGCCATTCATGAAAATGTTAATTGCAGTTTTAGTAAAAACTGTTTTAAAAACTACAAAATATCCAATTATAGAGAAATGATTAAATAAACTAGGCTACATCTAGTACATGGACAATTATACAAAGACAGTGAAAACATTCTTGCAATATAATGCTCATTCATTCAACAAGCACTTCTTCAACAACCATAATATATCAGGTACTGATTATGACAAAATATTAAGTGAAAATGTACAATTCAATATTATTTATACATCAGTTACAGCTATGGAAACTATATGCATATGGAAAGACTGAATAAATGTAATAAAATGGTAAAAGTAGCCATAGCAACCTGGTAGATTTAGGTTGAGTATTTTTCCTCCTATCTTCTAAAGTTTTATGATGTGGTTTTATTAATTTTATAGTTGACAGCATCAATTTAAAAAATAAAAATAATAAAATAGGGGTTAGATTGAATAGCTTTATACTACAGAATACCATATGTTTCAGAGCACTGAATTTCTCAGAAAATAAACACTACTTAATATATAGTATGACTGGCCAGGTACAGTGGCTCAAGCCTGTAATCCCATCACTTTGGGAGGCCAACAAGGGTAGATCACCTGAGGTCAGAAGTTCGAGACTAGCCTGGCCAACATGGCAAAACCCCATCTCTACTAAAAATACAAAAAAATTAGCTGGGCCTGATAGCAGGCCTCTGTAATCCCAGCTACTTCGGAGGCTGAGGCAAGAGAATCGCTTGAACCTGGGAGTTGGAGGTTGCAATGAGCTGAGATCACACCACCACACTCCAGCCTGGATGACAGAGCGAGGACTCCGTCTCAAGAAAAAAAAAAAAAAGAATATATATATATATATATATATACACACACATACATACATATATGGTATGATTACTGTAACTGCATATCACATGAAAAATACTTTCCATTTTCATGATTATAAGCAATAAATTTTTTAAAACTTGTATAAAGTATCCTGTAAATGCCCAAACTCATTCATTAATTCAATACAAATATACCAAAAGCCTACTTACTATACACTGAGCAGTATTTTAGATGCTATTAGGAACATAGATAATTTTAGTACAAAGTTTATACATTTAAGGACACCTCATCTAATTGGAGAGAATACATACACATATTTAGAAAGTTAAAATTTAATATGAATTAATATAAGAATTCTGTTTGAGAGCAGGACAAACACCACCATCCCTACTAATATTCAACTGGAAGTTCTAGTCAGAGCACAATGACACAAAAATAAAATGAGGTAACAAAATGGAAGAAACTAATCTTAATATACAAAGATGAAAGAGAACCCACAAGCTTCACCTGACAAACCATTGACACTAATGAGAAAATTCAGCAAGACATTTGGTATTAAGATAAAATAAAAGAAAACAAGATACCATTTATGATCACAACAAAAATGCAAAGAATCTAGGCATTAACCTATCAGACTTCACAAGACTGAAATGAATACTTAAAAAAAAATTATCACCTCTTGGCCTTTAGGTAAGATCAAGTGTAAAAAAATTTATTAAAAGACACAGAAAACTTGACTAAATGGATAAATATATCATTTTAGGGATAGAATGACTTAACACTGTAAAAGTGTTAATTCTGCTAAGTGCAGTGACACTCGCCTGTAATCCCAACGCTTTGGGAGGCTGAGGCAAGGGGTTTTGCTTGAGGCCAGGAATTCAAGACCAGCATGCACAATATAGTAAGACTCCAAGTCTATAAAAAATTTAACATTAGCTGGATGTGGTGGCATGTGTCTGTGGTCCTAGCTACTCATGAGGCTAAGGCGGGAGGATCCCTTGAGCCCAGGAGTCTGAGACTACAGTAGGTTATTCCCACACCACTGCAATCCAGCCTGGGCAAAAGAGCAAGGCCCTGTCTCAAAAAATAAAATAAAGTCAAATAAAAGTGTTCATTCTCAAAATAATATGTAAATTCAGTACAACTCTAATCAAAACCTAGCAAAATTTGGGTGAAGGGCAAACTGATTCTAAGATGATTTTTAAAATACAAATTTTAAAAAGGATAAAGTGAGAAATTCATCCACCAGATACTGACATACATTACAAAGCCATGATAATAAAAGCAATATGGCAGTAAACTGACCAATGACAAAGAATAAAGACAATAGAAAGAACCCATATACATACAGGAATGAGGTGTATGATAGAGGTGGTATTACAAATGAGAAGGAAAAAGGTAGGTTATCTGGCAGATGGTGCTAGAAAATCCAGTTCACCACATAGTAAAAAATAAAGCTGGATCTTTCCACAATTTATAAAATAAACTTCAAATAATTAAAGCCTTACATGTAAAAGATAAAATTAAAAGCTAATTGAATATAAGCATTTTGGGAGGCTAAGGCTGGTGGATCATCTGAGGTCAAGAGTTCGATACCAGCCTGGCTAACATGGCAAAACTCCTTCCCTACTAAAAATACAAAAATTAGCTGGGCACAGTGGCACATGCCTGGAGTTCCAGCTACTCAGGAGGCTGACGCAGGAGAATTGCTTGAACCTGGGAAGAGGAGGTTGCAGTGAGCCAAGATTGCACCACTGCACCCCAGCATGGGTGACAGAGTGAGACTCCATCTCAAAAAAAGAAAAAAAAAGCTGATAAGCTAATTGAAGAAAATACAGAAGAATATCTCTATGACCTGTGGTGAAGGAGGATTTCTTTTAGAAAGACCCCAAACTCACCAAACACAAGAGGAAAATAGATTGGTTTGACCATATTGAATTAAAGATTACTGTTCAACAAAGGACCACAGACAAAGTTAATAGAGAGGTAACAGTGTAAGAGAAAATATATACAATATCTATAACCTATAGGGGTTATATATATATATATAGTCTATATATATATAGACTAATGAGAACGTCTACAAATTGGAAGAACGAAATAGAAAACCCAACAGAAAAATAGACAAAGGATATGAATGCGTAATTCACAGAAAGGAAGCTCTAAATGAGTAATAAATACATGAAGAAATGCTCCACTTTACTAGTTATCAGAGAAATTCAATTAAAATCAGAAGCATTTCACATACATGAGGAAGTCAGAAACATCAAAGACTCAGGAGATGTGAGGAAGATGGAAACTGGAGTACTGCTGCAGGGAGCATAAAAGCTGTATAGCCATCTGGAAAGCAATCTGGCAGAAATGTGAGATTCAGTAAGCCCATGGGTCTATGTGTGGGATCTCACTTCTGAGTGTACACTACAGAGAAATTCACAAACAGGTCCAGGAAGAGAAATTACAAAGGCGCTTTCATTTGGGGTAGCAAGAGATTGAGAAGGTAGCTATCATTAAAGGTGCCAATTGTTACCACACTGTCTCTCAGAAACAACCATCCTTCTCTACTCAGCGTTATGATGCTGGGGCTGTGACTCGCTAAGCTACAATTCCCCTTTGCCAGGTGGCTAGGAAAAAGGAGATCAGAAGTAAGAACAATAGAAGAGAAATCTTGCTTTCCTTTTTACTTGCTGTGTACAACAGTGACGTAAGAGGATTAGAGAAAAGGAAGAATTCTGTGTTGAACACGTAAAATTTGAAGTGATAGCAGATGTCCAAGTGGAAATAAAAATCCTCTGCATAGCATATTGTTAGTTTTCTACTGAGTCCTTCACCTTTTATTATCTTTCCTTTGACAAGTTAAAAAAAAAAAACAGAAATGAGGCCAGGTGCAGTGGCTCACACCTATAAACCCAGCACTCTGGGAGGCCAAGGCAGGCGGACCACTTGAGGTCAGAAGTTCAAGACCAGACTGGCCAACATGGTGAAACCCTGTCTCTATTAAAAATACAAAAAAAAAAAAAAATTAGCCAAGTGTGGTGGCTCATGCTTGTAATCCCAACTACTCAGCAAGCTGAGGCATGGGAATTGCTTGAACCTGAGAGGCAGAGGTTGCAGTAAGCTATGATGGCACCACTGTACTCTAGCCTGGGCAACAGAGCAGGACTTCATCTCATTTGAAAAAAAAAAAAACAGAAATGAGATACTAGATAGGGAAGGGAGGGACAGTACTTCTGTCATTTTCTGCAGGTGCTACCTTTCTGATCATTCTAAAATGCAAATGCAATCATACCTCTTTTGTCTAAAACCTTTCAGTGGCTTCACACAATAGACTTGGGGGAAAAAGAACAACAGTCTAATATCTTAATAGATCCTACCAGGTCTTGTAGAAATCTGGCATCTTCTTAATTCTCAGTCTCATCTAAACTATTCCACCACGCCCTCTCTTTCAAGTGTCAAACCTGTTTATATAATAAGGCCATGCCATCCTTCTTCCCATCCTCAGGGCCATCAGTCTAGAAGACTGTTCTCAACTTTCTCCCTCATTCCCACTGTTCCTTTACCTAGACAACTCCTGCTTATCCTTCAGTTCTCTAATTAGGGACTTCTTCATGGAAAATGGACTTTTCTTCTATTCATGGACACTATATTTTAAACAACTTTAAAAACCACCGAAAACTCTGGACAATATATTTAAACCAACCTAAGAAGATTCTGAAGGTGGAGAGAAGAAAGCAGGCTGGCTACAGAATTTGGGACATGAGGAACAACACAGTGGTAAATTCCATGGGTTTTCTTTTTGCTTGGCGTATTCTAGGCATGAAGCTTAAGAAGCTGGCAAGTGAAAATGCCAATGGGCACAGAAAACAAAAATACCCCAACCAAGATCGGCTCTGTAGCCAAAGGACCAAGAAAAGGATAGCCTAGCATGATGAAAAAACCTTTAGACAATAACTACTCTAGTCAGGACAAATACCCACTCCCACCCATGCATCAGAGGTCAGTTAGGAAGCCAGGACTTTCATCTCCACTGATAGTAATGAGTCTCTCCCCCATCATGATGTCAGTGGCAACCACTTAGGGAGGCTGGACTTCCACACCCAACTCCAATCTGTCAAGATGCTTCTATTCTACCTGTGGGGTAGTATGAGTGGAGGCCTACTAGGAAGCAAGACCTCCAATTCTTGCCCAGCAATAGCAAAAAAAGACCCCCTTCCTCAGATGTCAGTGGAGGCATGGTAGGGAACCTGAAGTTCTACCTCCACTTGGTGGTAGCAAGGTAGAGGCTTCCCACTAACGCTCTCTCCCTGCTGGGTTAGTGGAAAGTAGTATCAAAAGAAGCCAGCTAAAACAGAAGGCTTAAATAAGATCCAAGGGAGCACAACAGTGCAAAGAAAGCATGCTGAGCCCATGAATAATCCAGAATCTTATAATGCAATACCTTAAATGTCCATACTAAGAACCAGGAAGATCTCAAACTGAATGAAAAAAGTCCATTGATAGATTCCAATACCAAGATGACAGAGATGTTAGAATTATCTAACAAAATTTAAAGCAGACCTTGTAAAAATATTTCAGTGAATAATTAAGAATATGCTTGAAGCAAATGAAAGAGCAGAAAGTCTCTGTAAAAAAAATTAGAAGATATAAAGAAAAACCAAATGGAAATTTTAAAATTGAAACTATACATAGAACAAACTAAAAATGCAATGGATGGGCTCAACATTGGAAGAGGAGACAGAGGAAAGAATCTGTGAAGTGGAAGATAGAAGAACAGAAGTTACTCAATGTGAACAACAGAGAGAAAGTAAATTGAAAACATAGTCTCAGGAACCTGGGTGACTAATAACAAAAGATCTGACATTCACATTGTCAAAGTTCCAGGGAAGAGGAAAAAGGACAGGGATGAAAAAGTATTCAAAAAAATAAAACTAAAACCTTTCCAAATTTGGCAAAAGGAATAAGCCTAAAGATTCAAGAAGCTGAATAAACTCCAAACAAGACAAACCAAAGAAATCCACACCGAGACACATCATAATCAAATTTCTGAAAACTAATCAGGTTAGTTAGGTCCCAGTTAACACCTAATTATTTCTCAGCACTCTACTTAAATTAGACACTCCTAATACGATATTCCATTGCACACTGTACTTTTCCTGCATAAGACCCACCATATTTAGAATGACTTGTTCAATGTTCATCTTCTCCACTAAACCACAAGTTTCATTAAGTCAGGGACTTGGTTACCGTTATAGCCACAGCACTTAATACAGTATCTACCAAATAAAAGCAGTTCCATTAATGCTTATTGAATGATGAATGAATAAATGATTCTTCTTCAAAAAAAGTTCCCTTTTAACTACCAATCTATTTTGTCCTTTTCTCAAAACTATACTAGAGACTCACCTCTTAATCAATCGTGACTTCTTTCAGATAGGTCTGTCCTTACCTTATTAGTTTGTAGAATTCTTGCATGAAATGCAGCTGGCCAGGCATGAAGTAACAGATAAGCATAGGAGCGAATGGCATATGCTGGGGAATATTCCCAAGTCTGAAACCCCTCCCCGTAGATGAGGTAGTGTGTCTAAAAATACAAAACAGACAGATTCAGGGTTATACTGGCCAAAAATCTCTGGTAAGCACATGCAAGTTTCTGAGTAGAAATATTAAAGACAAAGGCAGGCCACGCAGAGTGGCTCACGCTGATAATCCTAGCACTTTGGGAGGGCAAGGCAGGCAGGCTGCTTGAGCCCAGGAATTGAAGACCAGCCTGTGCAACATAGCAAAACTCCATCTCTACAAAAAAACACAAAAATTAGCATGGTATGGTGGTGCATGTCTATAGTCCCAACAACTAGGGAGGCTGAGGCAGGAGAATTACTTGAGCCCCAGAGGCAGAGGTTGCAGTGAACCCAGATCATGCCATTGCACTCCAGCCTGGGCGATGGACCAAGACTCTGTCTCAAAATAAAAAAATTTTTTAAGAGACGAAGGTACACAGTAATGCTAACATTCTCAACAAGATTTGCAACTGATGGATAAAAAAGGAATCAAAATGACCCAATATTTAAAATATTAAGACATTATAAATTTTACAAGATTGCTGTTTGGTCAACACTGAAAGCTTGAATTTTACCTTCTACTTATTTTTCCTCAATACTTGTTAGCCAAAACAGAAAACCTCTAAATTTCATATATTCTTTAAACAACCTACATTTAACATTCTTTCTTCACTTTTTGAATTCAAAATGTGATCAGAAAATTTTACCTCTTAATTTTCTATAATAGAAGTCAACAGATAATGCATAAATCAACAAATAGCAATAGAATCATACTATTCAGTAACACTATTTTGGTAGTCATCAGAAGACATAACTTAAAAAGTAAAAGAAAGTGGTTGCCTCTGGAAAGTAGTATTTGGACACAGGAAGTAGAATAGAAAGCTACTGTTTTTCCTTTAGGTTTTTTAGTAGTTGTTAGTTTTAAAAACCATCTCTAGGTATAATTTTCATTTTAAAAAACTTATAAGAAAATTACAAATTATACCTTTGTGTAAACCAGCTAAATTCCCTACAGCCTTCAGTAGCAAGTACATCAACTGCTTAGAATACAAAAGTGAACACAAGTTACAGGCCAGGTGCAGTGACTCATGCCTGTAATCCCAACACTTTGGGAGGTCAAGACAAGAGGACTGCTTGAGCCCAGAAGTTCAAGACCAGCCTGGGTGACATAATTAGCCGTCATCTCTGTTTGTTTGTTTTTTGTTTTTTTTTTGAGACGGAGTCACACTCTGTTGCCCAGGCTGGAGTACAATAGCATGACCTCGGCTCACTGCAACCCCCGCCTCCTGGGTTCAAGTGATTCTCCTGCCTCAGCCTACCAAGTAGCTGGGATTACAGGCGTCTGCCAATACATCCAGCTAATTTTTGTATTTTTAGTAGAGATGGGGTTTCACCATGTTGGTCAGGCTTGTCTCGAACTCCTGACCTCAGGTTATTCACCTGCTTCAGCCTCCCAAAGTGCTGGGATTACAGGCATGAGCCACCACACCAGGCCTGTTTTTTGCCTTTTTTTTCCAAAGAAAATACAGTTATTTTACAATTAGTCACACTTGTGTATTATTTGTCTCTCGATTGGTAACAACTCCTATGCTGCAAAATCAAGAACAAAAAGAGAAAGCTAAAGAAATCACCTACTGGCTCCCAGTAGTTGAATGTTTCATCACAGTCAGAGATGTTGCTCAGGAGAGCAGCACATAACCTTGCTGAAAGCAGACACTTGAAAGCAGTAGACCCTTCGGGTGCCCAAACTTGTCCTGCTTTGTTCCCAGATAACCTGTTCAGAAGCAAAAAAAAAAAAAAAAAAAAAAAAAAAAAAAAAAGTATGTCAGGACCTACTAATCAGAAGACCTAAATCTAGATAGAAAGGGCAAAAAGGACAAGGGACATCAAAGCAATCAAAGCACTTATTCATCTAAAAAGGTGAATAGCTAATTGTTTTCTCAGTAAAATGAATAAATAATTCAGATTTTTAAGAAAAAAATTGTGGCCGGGCGCGGTAGCTCACGCCTGTAATCCCAGCACTTTGTGAGGCTGAGGCAGGTGGATCACCTGAGGTCGGGAGTTCGAGACCAGCCTGACCAACATGGAGAAACCCCGTCTCTACTAAAAATACAAAAATTAGCCAAGTGTGGTGGCGCATGCCTGTAATCCCAGCTACTTGGGAGGCTGAGGCAGAAGAACTACTTTAACTTGCGAGGTGGAGGTTGTGGTAAGCAAAGATCGCGCCATTGCACTCCAGCCTTGGCGAAAAGAGCGAAACTCCATCTCAAAAATAAAAAATAAAATTATGAGATAGGCTCTTGCTGTGTTGCCCAGGCTGGACTTAAACTTCTCAGCTCAAGTAATCCTCCTGCCTCGGCCTTTTGAAGAATTGACTTTAATCACTCTATCGCTCCTTCCACTTCCTGCTTTTAAGGCATAAATTAACTCATACACTTTAGCTCCTTGCATTTGCGACAGTCCATTTATCCCAAGCCAACGAATCACTCACTTGAAGGCCACAAAGCTGTCATTCTCATTTTTTTCCTTTTCTTAGCAAGGCCATTGCTTTTCATGGGTTTATTCATTACCCCTCAAGTTCAAATAGAAGCCTAGGTGCAAGCTACGTATAGCCTACTGCAATTCCATATGTTGACAGCTTCTTTAATGCAGTTCTAACCTGCTGCCTCCCAGGTTTGGGAAGAGGTGGTGGCTGGTTGGGTGGGCCCAGTAAAGGGTCGGAACTTGAGGGAGAATAAAAGGAGCTGTGAGGAACAGCCGTAAAAGGTTTACTCTTTCATCCTGTCAACATCTCCCACAGACGCTGTGCCCACGCTAGGCCTAGCCCAGGAGCATCACAGACCCGCACTCCAAGACTGTTTTACAAAAGCGGGGGACCCGCAGTGGAGGGATCTAAGGTGGGCAAAGACCGAATGCTGACCCGCCCAGGAAGAGCAATAGGACCCAGCTGAAGAGGGAGCGCGGGCCTTCGGCGGGGAGGCCAGGCCAGACTGAGCCCCCGCGCGACACTGCTGAGACCCTCCAGCCGCGCCGGCCGCCCGGCCGGCCACGCCCCTGCCGCGCCGCAGACGTACTCAGTCCGGTGCTCCGCGCCGCCCGCCTCACGGCTGCCCAGCAGCTCCCGCAGCTTGTCCGCGGCCGGGGCCGTGTCCCCACCGCTGCCCCCGCTGCCCTTCAAGCGCTGCCGAGCCCCTCGGCTCGCCATGGCAAGCTAGGGGAAAAAAGATTCGGCACCCTATGAAGTCGGTGAGCGCGGAGACTTAGCTTTGGCTGGTAAACGGTGTCCGCCGAGGGACAAAAAATCTTGACATGCGCAGAAAAGACTAAATTGTAGAGTTACTGGGCCAATCCGGGCAGATCCTCGAGTAGCGAAGAAATAGAACCGGAGCCTTGAGTTTCTTCACCAGGGCTGTCCCATTCACCTACTTCTAACTCTGTAACTCTGGCCATTCCTACCTTCCTCCAACCCTCTCTTCCTTCACTTTTCAACATTCTCCATTCTAAACACACACACACACCACCACAGCTCCCCTATTTAAATGAAAGCACAAATAGAAAGTGATTAAAGAAATCTACATAGTGAAATGCAAAGTATTCAGTTAAATATCATAGCACAGCTGTCTACTAAAAGAGAAGTCCTTAAAATGTCATTTTTAACACCTTACCTTCTCTGTATTTTGGTGAGAGCGACAGAGACAGCCTGTAGCTAAAAACTGTTTCAGACTGACAAACTGGTAATGGCAGAATGTAGACTGATGAAATTCTGTGTGGCAAATTGAATCAGACGTCCATCACTGTCATTGCTACTTCAGCATTGTGGTAGGCATTTTACATATTTTATGCTTTTTAAACTTAATACAACCACCTTGTTTTATTGATCAGGAAACTAAATAAACTTAGAGCTAGTAAATGGTGGAGCTATATTCCAGCCCAGGACTATCTTACCAAAAAGCCCATGCTCTTCCCACCAGATCGGGTGAAAGGTCTTCATTTCCTACAATCCTTTTTATACCAGCATGTTGATAATATCATATTTGTGACTCTTGGGGGTCATTCATCTAATCCTGACACTCTATCCACTCTCCTAATCACAGAGCTATATCCTACTCCGTGGAGCTCCATGCCAGTAACTGTATAGAGGGAACACTAAACTTGACAAGGTCCTAGAAGGTTGTGATTTCCTTCCAAAAATTCCTAAGTATTGAAAATGAAAATTGATCATATTGCTCAATTCCTGCATGCCATGCAGTCATTAGTTACCAAGTTCAAGTATCCAGCTTAGCTTTTTTTTTTTTTTTGAGACAGAGTCTTCCTTGGTCACCCAGGCTGACTGTGGCACAATCTCAGCTTACTGTAACCTCCGCCTTACAGGTTCAAGAGATTGTCATTGCTTAGCCTTTCAAGTAGCAGAGACTACTGGTGTGCACCACCACACTGGCTCATTTTTGTATTTTTAGTAGAGATTAGGTTTTGCCATGTTGGCCAGGCTGGTCTGTAACTCCTGACCTCAAGTGATCCACCTGCCTCAGCCACCCAAAGTGCTGGGATTACAGGCAGGAGCCACTGCACCCAGCCTAGCTGTATCTCATATACCCATCTCCTCCTTTTCATTTAACTCTAATGCAGGTCCCTCCCTACCTCTCTACCTAGAACTAACACAATAGCATCTTCACAGGGATTACTCATCTCAAATTCATCCTGCACAACATTATTTGGTTAATTTTCCAAAGCACTACTCTGTGTCACTTCCTTAGTTAAAAAAAAATCAGATTTTTTCCTATTGCCTACCAAATAAAGTAAAAACTCCTTATTCTAGCATTTGGTCTTGCATGAACTCCAGCCCCAACCTACCTTTCAAATCTTATCTCCCACTACTTTCCTATTCACACTTTACATTCCAGCTAATTAGCCTAGAAAGTGCCCCCAAATGCTCCCTTATCTATATCTCTGTTCATGGATGCCCTCTGCCTGAAATGCACACCCTACTTGCCTAATAATTCTCCCTTTACATTCCTGCCCTTGTTTTAAGATCCAGCTCAAACACCACCTCCTCCATGTACCAAACACCACTGAGGAAAGAAGAAAGGGATAAATCCCATTACCTGCCATCAATTAGCAAAATAATATATGTGGAGAGCTCAGCAATAGATGTGTCCATTAAGAGATCCCTTGGTTCTTTATCCCACTCCCCAAACTTACTCCCCAAACATTACTGGGATGACAGTGTTTCCATCCCAGTGAATGACACTTCTAATCTTCTAGGTATCCAGGTCAAAAACTGAGGAGTCCTGCTTAATTCCTTTATTTCTCTAACCCCACACCTCTCTCACCCACACACAAACATTTAATGCATCAGCAAGTCCTTCCAAATATTATCCAACCCAACATTTTACTACCTTGGTCCAGGTCATCATGTTTTCATTTGCATTACTGCAATAACCTCCTAATTTGTCTCTGTGCTTCCATTTTTGCTTTCCTAAATGCTTTTCTCCAAGAATAAATAAGACAGTCATGTCCCTCACAGAATATAATCCCAAATGTGGAGCCTAACTATGAACAGGAGCATACATTACTTCACATTAGAGTACCGCATCCTGCAGAAACCTAGGCTAAGTTAATTTTCCAGTGTCCCTTGGAGGTACTTATAACAGAAGGCCCCAAAATCTAGAGAGGCAAAGTTTGGAGTTAATCACAGTTGAACAATTACTGTTAAGACTAGCAAAAAAGTAACAAAGTGGCAGAAAGAACATGGGCTTTAGAGGATCCAAATGTTAACCCTAAATCTGAAGCTTTATTAGTTCCATGACTTTAACAAGTCAACCACAGAATTAAAATTATGATGATGATAACAATACCAAAACTAATATGGAATACTTACAACTTACGAAGCTAATAAATGTTGGTCTGACTCCAAAAATTACTTTCATAAGGTGATTTAATGAAGTGATACAAGAAAGTTGAGGGAAGAATAATTTACAGTGTGGAAAACATATGTGTATTTAATGAGACTCCTAAGTTCTACAGCCTCCTTCAGCAATAGAGCATCTTGAGTACAAAATGCTGTTTTGCTTATTGTTTCAGTCACTTCTCAGGACCAAAATATTGCACAACTCCAAATGTCACCAATTACGTACATTATAATCTATAAGTTTAAGTGACAGAGTCAAGGTATCTTTAGGATCAACCAACAGCAGCTATGGTCACAAAGTAAAAGATTAAAAAAAAAATCCAGAAAGGACTACTGATTAGAAGTTGGTCATTTTCCTCCACATCCCCCCCAATGTAGGATCACACCGTAGAAAAGAATTTAAACTACCGAGGTGTAACATATAGGCGTTGTTGAATCTCCTTCCTAAACTGGGACTGCATTGATGATACCTGCTGCTGGGTGAGGGCCTTGTCACAGGTCTGGTAGGTCAATCTATAGCAGAGACTGACCTGTTGAGTCTTTGGATGCTGATAACGGCTAAGAAACTGTATGGATATAACAGTGTCCTGGGACACTGCTCGGGCCACAGTGTGAAACTCTAGTTCATCAAATCCTTTCTTCTCATCTATCCAAAAACTAATATCATGGACGTAACATGGAGGATACAGAGAATGACTTTTAAAGGGTTCTATTTTTCCAGGGACGAAATTTTTCAGGAAACGGTTATCAAACGTCCACAACATTCTCCAGTCAGAGATACACCAGACAAGCATGGCTAGTAAGTCCAAGTTCATGGACACAAACACAAAACACTGGTCTTTATGTATAATGCTTGTTGCAGATGTGGTAACAGACCCAATAATTAGATCCTCAGTATAATCTGGGCTAAAATTATCAGTCTTTACATGAATCATATAATCCTTTCCATTTGACTGAAGGACAAATTCAACTAAACTGCTCAGCTTAGAGATCTCTGGCGATGTCTGAGTCAGCAGGCTATCTACAATGCCCTTCAGATGATCCAGCAGTGATTGAAGACAGCCATCCTTCAGATTTTTATTAAGCCCAAGGATAAATAAAGTCTCGTGAAATGCTGGCATTGTGAAAGGCAAAATGTGGCACTTCTGAAAGACAGGTCCACTGAGGATGTGCAGAGAACCTGAGAGGAAGTCTGGTACTTCGATAATATCCTGAACATGAACTAGGAGAGAAGGTCTAAGGCAGACCTTAGCCTGGCCACAGATTCCTTCATAAGCTGCTTCTTTGCCATCTCTTCCAGGATTCTTGGGAAGGCTAAGTTCTGAAAATGACACTAGAAAGTCTTCCACATCTTGTGATGTCCCACCAGTCAGGGACTCAGAATTTGAGTTATCTTCATGGAGACTAATCCAAAAAGCAGCTGATAGAAAGTCACAATTCCAGAAAGGAAGAACACTGGCACCTTCCTGTGGCAGCAAAGGGAAGGAACATTTCAGCCTTTTTAGAGGGAAAGCTTTGCCTAATTCAGCAATGAGTTTCTCATTTATGGTTTTGATAGGATGACATGAAGGTGCTTCCAGGAAACCCCTGTTTAAACACATACAAAAATAATTTTTCTAACTGAAAACAGTAAATAATTATAATGTAGCTAGAATTAAAACACGAACAGCTGGATACAAAAGAATTATTCTTAAAATGATCTTGAAAGGAAACAAAGAAATCATCTACCATAAGGAGAAAGAAACAGGTATTTCAGAACTCTGACAGCCACCATCCCTACAATATATCAGAAAATATGACAATTTTTAATTCTAAAGAAGCTTAAGGAGGCCAGGCTCACAAATAAACATAGCACCAACATCACTAATAATTTATGTACCATCCATTCAATATATGGTTGCCATCAAGACAAACAGCATACAACTGAAGATGAAAGTGACTTCCAGTTACCTGTTCAACTTTCCTACAAGTGCTTCTGGTTCTCGAAAGGAAAACCACTGGTTACCCAGTTTGATCCTGAAGATTCTGGGTTGAGAATCTTCGAAGGGTAAGCTCCTGGTGAAGACATGGTTCAAAGCACCTTCTACATGAAAGGACTTATCTTGACTCCTTGCAAAATAGACACCAATATGAAGTCTGTCATTATTAAAATAAACAAGTATTTTTAGAGACTGAAACAGTTAATTGGCATGGCCTAAAAGTCTGTCTACGAGATTTTGTTATCATTAGTGAGACAGATGAAAAAGCAGAAGGTTTAGACCTATGCTATTACCTACCTATATCCAGTACACTTGTACCCTGGCACAGCTTTACAGCTGAATGGATACACATCACTTAAAATAAGCCCACCCAGGGCTGCCATGGCAACCACTTGCCAGCTGTTGTGCCATTTTCTCTGGGGTTTATCCACAGGAGTTCCACCTTGTCCTCTACATAATGCCACGTGGACTTCTCCTTCCTCTGCAAGAACATCTGCACAGCTAATAGGGAGAAAAGAAACACCAACTAATTATCATCAACAAGCGGAAATTACCACAGGAGCTGGCAACATACACATGGTTTGCCTGTGCAATAATTAAAATCCAATCATACCTATGTGCAAAAATCTATTAGATCCCCAAAATACAAAGAAAGTAGCTGGAAGTAAATGCAAATGTAAATTAAATGTTCAACCCACTAATGGACACTATTGGCTGACCAGTGTCTGCTTTGCATTTGTGTTGCTCATCTGTATGTCACAGAAAGGTCAATATCTGCACAGTTCCTATACATGATTCACTGCTTAGGCTGTTTCTTCCCATTTAGAAAATTATTTTCACTGCCCTCTTGCAATCCAAATACTAGCTTAAAATACTGCCTCTGTCAAAAGTTTACTGACAGCTATGCCCCATCGGACACCTCCAATAGTATCATATCTTGTGGTGTAATCATGTAAAGCACTGTTTTAAGTTCGCAACAATTTTATGAGGGAGGCTGTTAGTTACCTTTTTTTTGGAGGTAGGGGGATAGAGTCTTCCTCTGTTGCCCAGGCTGGAGTGCAGTGGCACGATCTCGGCTCACGGCAACCTCCACCTCCTGAGTTCAAGCAATTCTCATGCTTCGGTCTCCTCAGCGTGCCGCCACGGCTGGCTAATTTTTGTATTTTTAGTAAAGGCAGGGTTTCAACACATCGGCCAGGCTGGTCTCAAACTCCTGACCTCAGGTGATCTGCCCACCTCAGCCTCCCAAAGTGCTGAGATTACAGGCGTGAGCCACCACGCCTGGCCTAGTTAATTACTATTAATATCCCTAGTTTACAGTTGAGGAAACAGAAACATGTAAAGATTAAGTAAGCTTGCTTAAAATAACAAAACTGTTCAGTGGAATTTGAATTCAGGCAGTCTGGCTTCCAAGTGCACGTTCTTAGCCATTAGACTATATGGCTCTCATTATTTTGCATTATCAAAAATAAATGATCCTCTTTTACACGCCCAAGAGTACACTATGTGTACTTTCATTTAGCATTTAGGGTTTATATATCTGTCTTTCCAACTAAATTGGGGATTCCTTTGGGGCTTTTTATTCTCTTCTAAACATATCATAGTAGCTTACACGTGTGCCTTATGTTTGGGTGCAGTAACTATGTTATGGACATCTTAAACATTTCACTTGTGAGGGCTCTCCTTTCCTCACCTTTGGAAAAACTTGGCAAGCAGTTTCCTGTTCTTAGCTACGCCAGCTTTGCGTCCACAGTGCGGAAAGTTGAAATAAATCTGATGAAATTCCCTGTCGTGCAGTTCAAAGACATCTGACAGCTGAGTGCAGTCGACGCCGAAACGTACGTCAATACCTGACAAAGACAGTTTGGGGGCGCAAAATATAGACAGGAGGATGTCTTAAGGACTGGAACAGAAAAACTCTTCCTAATTTAAACCGTGCAGACCAGCCCAAGTCTGGGCACAAAGCCGGCTTTATGTGAAAATCCGTGGGACGATCAAGAACAATCACCATGTGTGTTACAAACCCACGCCCCCACCCTTTCCACTTTGGGACGTGCTGGCAGCTGGGCGGGGCTTCGCAGAGGCGGGGTCTCGCTACCTCGCTCAAGCAGGCACTGCAGATTCTCCCGGGCCACCGGATCCCGAGCCACCTCGGCCGGGAGCTGGAGGCAGGTGGCAGTAAGACTAGTGCTCTGATCCAGGGTCTCGCTCAGAGCAGCGGCGAAGGAGAAATTCCCCTCTCCAACCAACAGGAGGCGCCGAGGTGCCATGGCCTCCTTGGGCTCCCGGCGCGCGTTCTCTGTGGCGCTCGTTTTACGTCACTTCCTTCGCGGATCTCTGCCTGCCCCCCCTTCACCCGTCACTAGTTGATGACGTACTCATGGCGTCCGGTTGTCTAGACGAACTGGTGCACCGACTCCCAGGGAGAATAGTAACTATGAGCTCAAAAGCAGGACGCACACTACCCGGTCCCCTCGCCCCTTCACCCCTTCGGGAAGATCACAGTGTCTTCAGCGCAGAGCATGGTCTTGAGCGACTTCATCACACCTGCATGAGGTCACAAGCAGTCACTAACGCTGGGGTGTGAGGAGAGTTCTGAGTGAAAGAAACGGGGCCGCGCTGAGGCCAAGGAGAGGTTGTACTGTGTCTTGCATGCCCCAGACGCAGAGGATTTTGAAACCTTTTTCATCTCGTCCGAAATGGCTGCATCCCAGTATCTCTGCTGCTCAAAACTTCTCCAGGTGCTTCAATCTGCTATCTTCTATTCATTCAAAAAAGATTATTCAGTGCCTGTTATGTGGCAGGCCACTGAGGGTGGTTAAGATATATGGATGAACAAGATATGGCCTATGATTTCACTGAGCCTGCAGTCTGGTGGGGAATGCACAGAGCAAAAGAGGCAACTCTGATATGGTAGGGTGTGTGCTATGCGTGAAGTGATTCAGCGTGCTGTGGGAGCACAGAGAAGGAGAACTTTACCAAGATTTTGGGCAAAGTGGGTCGAAGACTCCTTGGATTAGGTGAACCAGAGTTGAAAGCTGAGAGGGTAAAACTGCCACTTAACTGGGTCAAGAGGCGTGAAGAGGCAGAAGGAACAATATACATAAAAGCATGATGGAGAAACAGAATAGTTGAGTTTGGCTGAAGCACGGTTGGTGGGAGAGTGAGTAACAGATGAGATTGAAGAGTTAGGCGAGGGCCAGGTCATAGGGAGCATTGCAAGCCTTTAAAAAATAATAATAAACTTTTACTTTAGATATGGGGGTACATGTGCAGGTTTGCTACATGGATATATTGCACCCAGGTAGGTTGCAGGTTTGTTACATTGGTATATTGCACCTAATAGTTTTTCAACCCACAGTACCCCCTCCTCCCTACTCTAGTTAGTAGTCTGCAGTGTCTGTTATTTCCATGTTTAGGTCCACATGTACTCAATATTTAGCTCAGATTTATAAGTGAGAATGTCAGAGGTGTTTAAAACAGAGCAACTCCATCTTGAATAGGTAGGGGCTAGGCAAAATAAGGCTAAGACCTGGGCTGCATTCCCAGTAAGTTAAGGCATTCTTAGTCACAGGATGAGAAAGCTCAGCACAAGATACAGATCATAAAGACTTTGCTGATAAAACAGGTTGCAGTGAAGAAGACAGCTAAAATCCATCAAAACCAAGATTGCAATGAGAGTGACCTCTGGTTGTCCTCCCTGCTATGCTCCCACCAGCATCATGACAGTGTACAAATGCCATGGCAATGTCAGGAAGTTAGCTTATATGGTCTAAAAAAGGGAGGTATGAATAATTGCCCCTTGTTTAGTGTATAATCAACAACCACAATATGGGCAACCAGCTGCCCTCGGAGCTGATCTGCGTATGGAGTAGCCATTCCTTATTCCTTTACTTTCTTAAACTTCCTTTCACTTTAGGGACTTACCCTGAATTCTTTCTTGCATGAGATCCAAGAATCCTTTCTTGGGATCTGGATAAGGACCCCTTTCAGTAAGAAGAACATGCTGTATTTGGTTTTTTGTTCTGTTGTAAGCTATTTTCGCAGGCTGAACCTTATTCTGAAAACCGTAGAAAGCCACTGAAAGATTTTAAATAAGAAGATGATACAATTATACTTTGATTTTGAAAAATTCTGCTTTCCTATGGAGAAAGGTTTGGAGAGAAACAAGGCGGATGGCAGGATAAGATGAGGCAACTGCAATAATGGAGACAAGGCTGACAGTGATTTGAATTGAAGTTTGCCAATAGGAATGGAGGATAGTGGTCTGATTCAAAAATCAACAAGACCTAGTGATTGGATGAATGTTAAAGACAAGTCAGAGTCAAAGATAAGCTTCAGGCCTCTGGCTTGGACAACTGAGTGGGTGGTGATGTCTGTCATTCCAGCCCTAGAGACAGTGACATCTAGATCTCCAGTCTGAGTACCAGGCCCATTGGTCTTTGTGGGACCAGCTACTCTGGTCATCTTGTTGTTTGATAATATCAGTGCATGCACCTGTCTTCACAAAGGCAGATTGTATGAGGGTAGTTACCTGAGATGTCATCCTCAATGCCACATTATTGGCTTTGTTTCTGCCTGTGCAAAGGCAAGTGGGTGGTGACTCCCAAACATGGCCATTTGCCCATGGTAATCTGGGTTATTCTTTCTTTGGAGTACCAGGAAAGCCAGGTTTGGTGACATCTTTAAAGAACATGGAACAGCCAAATAAGGATTTCTGTCACTCTCCTAAGAAATCTTCAAATAGCTCAACCTACTCAACATCAAGTTACTCTTCTTCAGGGAAGGTATTACCTTGTTCCTAAGCCAGGGGACCAGACTTACATTTTGGGGAAAAAAGGAAGATTGAGCTTTTACCTTATAAAAAATGAAATCAGACATTGATTATCTGGTATATGCAAACCAGATTAATTGGGGAGGACAGGCAGGACAGGGTACAATAATGAATAAAACAGATCCTGTCCTTTAGGGGCATACAGCTCAGTATGGGAGATATAATACAGACTTTAAAAATGCCAATATATGGTATAAAGTTATAAATACAGTGAAAGATATGAAGATAAAATTTTATGTGAGATAAAAACAAGCTAACTTCAGGGGAGGCATCATTTGAGACAGAAGGAAGGAAATGATCATTTATTACTCATTTACTGTGTTATCTAGTTATTCAACTCTCATTTCTTTCTATTCTCTTTGACTATAGCAGTGTCCTTAGTCCCTAAATGCCTACATCTCAAAATTACCTAAAAATTTAGCTAATTATCCATATTGTTTTGGGAATACTGAAGTTTTTCCTGTCTTTTTACGGGTTCTGGGGAGCAGGGGTGTGGATTTAATCTATATAGTCATCCACTGTTGCTGATTGAGAGAATAGATCAAAAGATTCCAGGACTTAGAGAGAAAGAAACAGAACCATAACAAAGCCTGGATCTAAGTGTGCTTGTGTTATACCTGGCTGTGTAAAATAAGAGTGGGAAAGGATGCTTTTCCTGTTTTCTGGTTTGTTCAATAAGCTTTTCTATTCTTGTCTTTTCCCAGAGACAGAACCTCGCCTGTTTCCTCACAAACCCACACTGTGGCAGCCTCATTAATGCAGATGGCCATGGTGAAGTGTGGACAGATTGGAATAGTATGTCCAAATTTTTCCAGTATGGATGGAGATGCACCACTAATGAGAATACCTATTCAAACCGTACCCTGATGGGCAACTGGAACCAGGAAAGATATGACCTGAGGAATGTCGTGCAGCCCAAACCCTTGCCTTCTCAGGTAATCTAACATTGTCTTTTTCGTTTGTTTGTTTCCTGCTGTTAGCAAAAGAAATGCCGTGGCCATTTGAAATGCAGGGATGTAATAACTTCCAGTGCAGTGATCTCTCAGTAAAGGTTGGGGCAGGAGAGCTGTCCACAGCTGAACCACCTATGCCACTTTACTGTCAAGTTGGATATTTTATTACCTGTAAGGTTTCAGAAGGATGGGTAGTCCTCCTTTTCTCTTACTTCTGTTTGGACTTTATCTGTTCATCTACAGAAATTAATAATGTCTTCTGACTTAGGGTAGCTTTTCCCCTGGTCCTGGCCTATCAAGACTTGTCATTTATCTGAGTCTAGTGCTTAAATCTCTCCTAAACAAACAAACATACAAAAGATACAAAAGTTGGAAGGATATAGACTAACACCATAGACCTGAAGTCCATCTGAAATATGATAGTCCATGAGAATTCATGTCATATTGATCTTTATTTCCTAATGTTAGCTGTAGACTTCCAGATTCTTAATCTGTTAATTTTTCTTTCCAGTTTGGACACTACTTTGAAACAACATATGATACAAGCTACAACAAAATGCCACTTTCAACACATAGTACGTAGACTGTCTTTTCTAATTCTTACATTTTGAGAACCTAACTCAGTGACTGGCACATAGAAGGAACTCAAATAAAAGTAAACTGAGTAGGTGAATAAGTGAGGCTGTGCACAGCGTCTCACGCCTGTAATCCCAGCACTTGGGAAGGCTGAGGCAAGCAGATCACTTGAGGTCAGGAGTTCCAGACCAACATGGTGAAACCCCATCTCCACTAAAAAAATACAAAAATTAGCTGGGTGTGGTGGTGCATGCCTGTAGTCCCAGCTACTCGGGAGGCTGAGGCAGGAGAATCAGTGGAACCCCAGAGGTGGAGGTTTCGGTGAGCAGAAATCACATCACTGCACTCCCACCTGGGTGACAGAGACTCCATCTCAAAAAAAAAAAAAAGTAGAGAGATCCAAGATGGCTGATCACTAGCAGCTCGGGATTGTAGCTCCCAGTGAAAGCGCAGAGAACAAGAGGACGCCACAATTTCAGACGAATTTTTGTTGCTCACGGACCAGGAGATTCCCAACGGAGGAGCCCCACGGGTCGCCAGTATGACTCTTGTGGCCGGTGCGGCGGTTCTCGGTGCAGAGTAAATGGGACTGGGTCCCCTTTTGGCCAACATTTGGAGCTCTGGGAAGGCAGAGTCACCTATTCAGCTGATTGAAGGACGGACTCAAGAAGGAAGCCAGACCAGAGATTCCCTGGCAGAAAAGCACCATCAATCTTAATGCCACTGTTTTAGCTGGTGCAGTGGGTTGCTCAGATTCCGGCACTGGGAATCAACAAGTTGGACATCCACTCAGAAACCTAATTAGAAAGTCGGTAATTATGAAGACCACAGATGGATAAATTTATAATGAAGGGAAGAAACCAGCCTAAAAAGGCTGAGAATACCCAAAATCAGAACACCTCTCCCTCTTCAGGGGATCACAGTTCCTCATCAGCAACAGAACAAGGCCTGATGGAGAACGAGTGTGTTCCATTAACAGAAGTAGGCTTCAAAAGGTGGATGTTAAGAAACTTCTGTGAGTTAAACGAACTTGTTCTAACCCAATGCAAAGAAACTAAGAACTTTGAAAAAAGGTTTGACGAAATGCTAACAAGAATAGACAATTTAGAGAGGAATATAAATGAATTAATGGAGCTGAAAAACACAACACGAGAACTTCACGAACCATGCACAAGTTTTAACAGCCGAATTGATCAAGCAGAAGAAAGGATATCAGAGGTCGAAGACCAACTTAATGAAATAAAACGAGAAGACAAGATTAGAGAAAAAAGGATAAAAAGGAATGAGCAAAGTCTCCAAGAAATATGGGACTGTGTGAAAAGACCTAATCTACGTTTGATAGGTGTACCTGAATGTGACGAAGAGAATCAATCCAAGCTGGAAAATACTCTTCAGGATATTATTCAGGAAAACGTTCCCAACCTAGCAAGGCAGGATAGTGTTCAACTCCAGGTAATACAGAGAACACCATAAAGATATTCCTCAAGAAGACCAACCTCAAGGCACAAAATCGTCAGATTCACCAGGGTTGAAATGAAGGAGAAAATACTAAGGGCAGCCAGAGAAAAAGGTCAGGTTACCCACAAAGGGAAGCCTATCAGACTTACAGCAGATCTCTCAGCAGAAACCCTACAAGCCAGAAGAGAGTGGGGGCCAATATTCAACATCCTTAAAGAAAAGAACTTTCAACCCAGAATTTCATATCCCGCTAAAATAAGCTTCACAAGTGAAGGAAAAATAAAATCTTTTGTGAACAAGCAAGTACTCAGAGATTTCATCACCACCAGGCCTGCTTTACAAGAGCTTCTGAAAGAAGCATAACACATAGAAAGGAACAACCAGTATCAGCCTTTCCAAAAATATACCAAAAAGTAAAAAGCATCAACATAATGAAGAATTTACATCAACTAATGGGGAAAACAGCCAGCTAACATCAAATGGCAGTATTAAACTCACATATATTAGTCCTAAATTTAAATTGAGTAAATGCCCCAATCAAAAGACACAGCCAAAACCCATCGGTATGCTGCATCCAGACCCATCTCACATGCAAGGAAACACAAAGACTCAAAACAAAGGGATGGAGAAAGATTTACCAACCAAATGGGGAGCAAAAATAAATAAATAAATAAAAAGCAGGAGTTGCAATTCTCGCTTCTGATAAAATCGACTTTAAAGCAACAAAGATCAAAAGAGGCAAAGAAGGACATTACATAATGGTAAAAGGATCAATGCAACAAGAAGAGCTAGCGATACTAAATATATACGCACCCAATACAGGAACACCCAGATACATAAGACTTATGAAGAGACTTAGACTCCCACATAATAATAGTGGGAGACTTCAACATCAATATTAGATAGATCAATGAGACAGAAAATTAACAAGGATATCCAGGACTTGAACTCAGATCCAGAACAAGTAAACTTAATAAACATTTGTAGAACTCTCCACTCAAAATACACAAAATATACACTCTTATCAGTACCACATCACACCTACCCACAGGTTTAAATGAAATATTGGTTGACTGCTTGTTTGTTAATTTCATCCCTCATTTTTCTTCTTGTTTCCATTATTAAGCATAAAAGAGGTTTTCAATACCCATTTTTAGACTGCATTCTCACCTGGGCAATAAAGCAACACTTCCGTTCTCTCTCCCTCTTCTTCCTCCTCTTTCTTCCTCTCCTTCATTCTTTCTTTCTTTCTTTCTCCTTCTTTCTTTCTTTTTCTTTAAAAAATAAAAAAGGTGACTAAGTAAATGAATGAGTAAACAGTTTTTTTCTTCAATTTTAACAGAACTTACTGTCTAGTCCCTAGAAATAAGAGCAAGATCAGTTACTAAAATTCCTTCTTGTTGACTGTTTTAATTTGTCTTTCCTTCCCTTTTTTCCTTCCCTCAGGATTTAAACGAGAGCCTCACTGGTTCCCAGGACATCAACCTGAACTGGATCCTCCTAGATACAAATGCACAGAAAAGTCAACTTACATGAATAGCTATTCAAAGCCTCAAATCGGGCATCACTCAGGATGTGTATAAGATCCTAATATTGGCTAGTTTCAGCATCCAGGTTTCTAAGAAATGATAAGCTACTTCACTTTTCCAGAGTAAAATGTAGGAGGGAGCACACTCAAAGCACAACTAAAAATTTAGCTCACTGTAACAGTTTCACTCTGAATAAATAAAGCAAAAGACAACAGAAAATGATCTTTATCCTTTTTTTGCTGTTGTTTTAACCAAGATTTAAACATCAAATTTAACATGTCAACTCAGTTCTACATTTGGGGTGTTGTACAAGGTCCATGAAAAATTATTTTGGCTGGGTGTGGTGGATCATGCCTGTAATCCCAGCACTTTGGGAGGCTGAGGCAGGTGAATCACCTGAGGTCAGGAGTTCAAGACCAGCCTGACAAACGTGGCAAAACACTGTCTCTACTAAAAATACAAAAATTAGCCAGGCATGGTGTCTCACGCCTGTAATCAGCTACTCGGAAGGCTGAGAGAGGCGAATCGCTTGAACCCAGGAGGTGGAAGTTGTAGTGAGCCGAGATCATGCCACTGCACTCCAGCCTGGGCAGCAGAGTGAGACTCTGTCTCAAAAAAGAAAAGAAAAGAAAAGAAAAAGACTTATTTCTCTCAAGTTGACAATCACTGTGCTCTTCCCTTCCTTCAGTCATTGTGGTAAGACTGCAGAATCCAGCATAACTTAGGCTAGGTTTGGCTAGATGCTTTCTGGGTATAAGCCAGGTAATCAGAGTCATATAGTGCAACTTTGCTATGACCCTAGTGATCATCTCTTCTTGAGAACTACAAAAACAAATAATTTTTTATTATTATTATAGAGAATTTAAAACATAAATAAATGTAGACAGACTAGTCTAATGAACTCCCATGTATCATAACCCAGCATCAACTATTTATGACTAATCTACTTTCTCTATGTTACTGAACTAATTTTGGAGCAGATCTTAGAATTTAATCTATAAAAATCTTGGTACATTGCCTGGAGACAGTGGCTCACACCTTCTAATCCTAGCACTTTGGGAGGCTGAGGCAGGAGGATAGCTTGAGGCTAGGAGTTCAAAACCAGCCTGGGCAACATAGCAAGACCCCATCTCTACCAAAAGAAATTTTTGTTAAAGATTTCAGTATATTTCTCAAAAAAATAAGGACTGTAAATTACTCCCCCCAACAAAGATCACTAAGGAAACTTGTTGACTAAGCAAAGTTCATCAAACTTATTGCAGCATAGTAAAGGAGACTATTAACTTGACAGAGCCTTGGTAATGATTCAAAGAGGGGATGTTAGAATAAGGTATTTGTAAGGATTTCAGAAAAAAGTCTAACGAGTTTAAAATGGATCTTTCAAAGTAGGGAACTAGGAGAGACTGAGAAAGTGTTGTGAATAACAGGATTGGTAAACTTAGGAAAGCAACAATCTTAAGTGTAATATGGTTAAAATTATCAGTATTTCATATTTTTTTATCTACTGTGTAAGAAGACAATATAATGTATGGGCATTATTGAGAGATATTGCCCGTATATTGTCTTCTTAAACAAGGAGATATTTTTAATCTCGCATATGTTACCGCTCAAACCTTTGTTACATTAGTTTCCAGATATAGATCTGAAATTTATGTTGTATATTCAGTAGTGAGGAAATTTCTTTTTTTTCTAAATGGCTATCAAGTTGTCCCACCACTGGTTATTGAAAAGACCATAATTTCCCACTGCCATTCAATGCCATTTTTATTGTAAATAAACTATGTACAGCTGGGTCTGTTTCTGGGATATTAGTTTAGTTGTCATTCCTTGTATTATCTTAATTATTATGCCTTAATTGGACCATCTTAATTATGATAATTTCATTACATTATTATTTCATATCTTAATACCTAATAAATCAAATATTTCCATCTTGTTTTCTTCAAGAGTATTAACTATGTTTGAACTTTTGCATTTCCATATAAAATTTAGAATCAGCCTGCTCCATAAAATGACACTGTTCGGATATTAATTGAAACTGTATTGCATCATTAGGTCAGTTTTAGAATTTTAGTTCTCATTAATTCTAATAATTCATTTGTATGTTCTTACAGTATGAATATTGTTTTATAGGCACATATTTTAAGTTTACATATTATGTCTTATTCTATTTCCTATGTATCTACCACATTTTTAAAATTGACATAAAATATATACAACATGGCCGAGCACAGTGGCTCATGCCTGCAATCCCAGCACTTTGGGAGGCTGAGGCTAGAGGATCACTTAAGGTCATGAGTTCAAGAGCAGCATGGCCAACATGGTGAAACCCCATCTCTACTAAAAATACAAAAATTAGCCAGGCGTGGTGACATGCACCTGTAATCCCAGCTACTCTGGAGACTGAGGCAGGAGAATCTCTTGAACCTGGGAGGCAGAGGTTGCAGTGAGCCAATATCACGCCATTGCACTCCAGCTTGGGTGACAGAGCAAGACTCTGTCTCAAAAAAATAAGACACACACACACACACACACACACACACACACACACACACAAAGTAAAATTTACCATTTTAGCTTTTGTTGTTGTGGTTCATAGAGACAGGGTTTCACCATTCTACTGGACTCAAACTTCTGACCTCAAGCAGTCCACCTGCCTCAGCCTCCCAAAGTGCTGGGATTACAGGCATGAGCCGGCATGCCTGCCTCATTGTAGCTATTTTTAAGTGCATAATTTAGTGGCATTAAGTATTTTTACAATGTTGTGCAATGTTCACAATGTTGTGCAACTGTCACCACTATCAATTTCCAGAACTTAATTAAGTTCTTCCAAACTAAAACTCTGTACCTATGAAACAATAACATCTCATTCCCCCATCCCTATTCCTTCAGCCCTTGGTAACCTGTATTCTACTTTCTGTCTCTATGAATTTACCTATTCTAGGCACCTCATTTCAGTGGAATTATATAATATTTTTTCTTTTGCATTTGTCTTATTTTACTTAGCACAATATTTTCAAGGCCCATTTATGTTATACCATGTATCTTCTTTTTTTTTTGAGACAGTCTCTGTCACCGAGGTTGGAGTGCAGTGGTGTGATCATAGCTCACTGCAGCCTCACAGTTCTAGGTTTAAGGGATCCTCCCACCTCAGCCTCCCAAGTACCTGGGACTGTAAGCACACTCCACCATGCTCTGCTAATTTTTTAAAACAAATTTGTGTACAGATAGGGTCTCACTTTGTTTCCCAGGCTGGTGTCAAACTCCTGGGTTCAAGCGATCCTCCCACCTCAGCCTCCTTTTCTTTAAGATTGAATAATATTCCATGCATATATATACCACAGTTTGCTTCTCCATTATCTGTTGATGGACACTTGAGTTGTTTTCACCTTTTGGCTATTGTGAATTATGCTGTTATGAACACTGGTATACAAGTATCTGTTTGTGTCCCTTTCAACTCTTTGACATATACATTCAGAAGTGGAATTTCTGGATTATACCGTAATTCTATATGATTTGTTTTGTTTGAGACAGTCTTGCTCTGTCACCCAGGCTAGATTGTAGTGGCGTGATCTTGGCTCACTGCAACCTCTCTCACAGGTTCAAGCAGTTCTTCTGCCTCAGCCAACCAAGTAGCTGGGACTACAGGCACACACCACCAATCCTTGCTCATTTTTGTATTTTTAGTAGAGACAAAGTTTTGCCATGTTGGCCAACTGATCTCAACCTTGTGACTTCAAGTGATCTGCCCACCTCAGCCTCCTACAGTGCTGGGATTATAGGCATAAGCCACCGCACCTGGCCAATAATTCTAGTTTAAGAGTTTGGAAATGCCAAACTTTTCCACAGTGGCTATACCATCTTACATTCCCACCAGCAATACACAAGTGTTTCAATTTCTCCATATCTGCATCAATGCTTATTTTGTTTTTGTTTGTGTCTTGTAATAGCCATATTAGCGGCTATAAAGTGGTATTCCATGGTGGTTTTGATTCATATTTCTCTGATGGCCAATGCTTGAACAACTTTTTTTTCTTTTTTTGTTTTGAGATGGAGTTTTGCTGTGTTGTCCAGGCTGGAGTGCAGTGGTGCTATCTCAGCCTGCTGCAACCTCTGCCTCCCAGGTTCAAGTGATTCTCCTGCCTTAGCCTCCCAAGCAGCTGAGATGACAGGCACGTGCCACTGAGCTCAGCTAATTTTTGTATTTTGAGTAGAGATGGGGTTTTACCATGTTAGCTAGGCTGGTCTTGAGCTCCTGACCTCAGGTGATCCACCCACCTTCCAAAGTGCTGGGATTATAGGCATGAGCCACCATGCTTGGCCTTGAGCATCTTTCTGTGTGCTTTTTGGCTATTTCTGTATCTTCTTTGGAGAAATGTTTATTCAAGTTCCTTGCCCATTTGTGAATTAAGTTGTTGATTTATTTGTTTTTGAGTTGTAGGAGTTCTTTATACATCCTTACATGTTCCAGATAGTAACTTCTAATCGGATATAAGATTCGCAAATATTTTCTCTGATCGTGTAGATTGTTGTTTCACTCTCTCTCTCTCTCTTTTTTAATGTAAATCAACCCATTTATTATAGGCCAGTGATGTCTCAAAGAGTGCTGGAGCATCTACTGTTCTTTCAATTCCTTCAGTCTTCTGATGGCAGACTTGATGTGACAGAGGAAGTGGTATTGTAGGTCCAGGTACCACCAGCCACTGTCTTCATGCAGTAACCACAGTGCCTGATTTTCACAGCTTGTCTCTTCATCTTTGTTTTGCCACAGAAAGAGCAAGTGTACTTGGCGTGCTGGCCGATTTCAATTTCTTTCACCATTTGCCGGGCGGAGGCCCCATAGAGGGTCCAGTATTTACTGATCATTCTGACTTTTTTTTTTCTTTTTGAGACAGAGTCTCACTCTGTCACCCAGACTGGAGTACAGTGGTGCAATCTCAGCTCAGTGCAATCTCCGCCTCCCAGATTCAAGCTATTCTCCTGCCTCAGCCTCCCTAGTAGCTGGAACTACAGGCATGCAGCACCATGCCCGCCTATTTTTGTATTTTGAGTAGAGACAGGGCTTCACCATGATGGCCAGGCTGGTCTCCAATTCCTGACCTTGAGTGATCCTCCCACCTTGGCCTCCCAAAGTGCTGGGATTACAGGCATGAGCCACTGCCTGGCCTCCTTCTGACTTTCTTGGTGCGTTTGGCCATGTCACTGAAAACTAGGTCCCAGCCCAGAGAGGAAGATGTTGTTTCATGCTCTAGACACTATCTCTTGATGCACAAAAGTTTTTAATATTGATAAGTCCAATTTATCTATTTTTTGTTGGTGGTGCCTGTGCTTCTGGTGTTATATCCAAGAAACCATTGCCAAATACAGTGTTACAAAGTTCTCCCACTGTTTTCTTCTAAGAGTTGTATAGTTTTTGCTCTTATAAAATAGGTCTTGGGCTGAGAGTGGTGACTCACACTTGTAATCCCAGCACTTTGGGAGGCTGAGGCAGGCAGATCACCTGAGGTCAGGAGTTCGAGACCAGCCTGGCCAACATGGTGAAACCCCATCTCTACTAAAAACTCAAAATTAGCTAGGTGTGGTGGCACATGCCTGTAATCCCCTACTTGGGAGGCTGAGGCAGGAGAATTGCTTAAACCTAGGAGGTAGAGGTTGTACTGAGCTGAGATCATGCCATGCACTCCAGCCTGGGTGACGAGCAAAACTCTGTCTCAAAATAAATAAATAAATAATAAATAAATAAAATGAAAATAAATAAAATAGGTCTTTGAAACTTTTGGAGTTAATTTTTATCTATAGTATAACGTATGGGTCCAGCTTCATCCTTTTGCAAGTGAATATTCAGTTTTCACCATTTGTTGAAAAGGCTGTCCTTTCCCCATTGAATGGTCTTGTCACCCTTGTTGGAAATCATTTGCCCATATGCACTAAGGTTTATTTCTGGACTCTGTATTCTATTACATTAATATATATTCTGCCTTTCTGCCAATATCACACCATTTTGATTACTGTAGTTTTGCAATAAGTTTTGAAATCAGAAAGTCTAAGTCTTCCAACTTTGTTCTTTTATGAGATTATTTCAGCTCTTCAGGGTCCTTTGAGATTCCATATGAATTTTAGGATATATTTTTTTTTATTTCTGCAAAGTCATTGGAATTTTGATAGGGATTGCATTGAATCTGTAGTAAGTATGGCTAACATTGATATCTTAACAATATTAAGTCTTCCAATTCATGAACACAGATAAGTCTTTTACTTTCTTGGTTTTTTCCTATGTATTTTAGTCTTTTTGATGCTATTGTAAATAGTATTGTTGTCTTAATCTTTTTTTCAGGTTACTAATTGTTAGTGTATGGAAATTGAACTGTTTTTTGTGTGTTGGTTTTGTGTGCTGGAACTTTGCTGAATTTGTATATTAGCTCTAATGGGTGTGTGTGTGTGTGTCTGTGTGTGTGTAATCTTTTGGGTTTTCTGCATGTAAGATCATGTCATCTGCAAACAGATAATTTTACTTCTTCCTTTCCAATGTGGATATTTTTATTTCTTTTTCTTACCTAATTAATTGTTCTGAGTAGAACTTCTAATGATACACCGAATAGAAGTCACAAAAGTAGGTATCCTTTTCTTGATCCTGATCTTAAAGGAAAACCCTTAACTTTTTTTCCTAGGACTAACAATAGACTGAAACTTTTAGTTTTGGGTTTTGTTTTGTTTTGTTTTTGAGACAGAGTCACGCTCTTATTGCCTAGGTTGGACTGCAATGGTGCAATCTCAGCTCACTGCAACCTCCGCCTCCCAGGTTCAGGCGATTCTCCTGCCTCAGCCTCCCGAATAGCTGGGACTACAGGTATGCACCACCACGCCCGGCTAATTTTGTATTTTTAGTAGAGATGAGGTTTCTCCATGTTGGTCAGGCTAGTCTCGAACTCCTGACCTCAGGTGATCCACTTGCCTGGGCCTCCCAAAGTGCCGGGATTACAGGCGTGAGCCACCATGCCCAGCCTGGTTTTTGGTTTTTGTTTTGTTTTGTTTTTTGTTGAGACGAGTGTAGTGGAACGATCTTGACTCACTGCAACCTCTGCCTCCCAGGTTCAAGCAATCCTCTCACCTCAGCCTCCCAAGGAGCTAGGACTACAGGTGCATGCCATCAGGCCCAACTAATTTTTGTACCCCATAAATATATATACCTACTAGGTACCAAAAAAATGTAAATTAAAAAAGGAAGTGTTTTGGTCTCTATTTAGAAGTTTAGTGATCTTTTTGTGACCAGAAGTATGTTTTTGTTTAGTGATATTTTCATGACCAAAAATATGGTTTTGTTTATATCAGCCTATGGTAAAATAGTTTTTATTAAAGTCACAGTTTCCAAGAGCCTATCGACAGTGTGTGTTAAGTGAGGACTTACTGTATATGTTTACAGATATACAGTTCTGTTTAGTATTACTTTTTCTGCACCCCGTAAGTTTTGGTATGTTGTGTTCTCTACTTCCCTCCCTCCCTCCCTCCTTCTCTCCCTTCCTTCATCCCTTCCTTCCTTTCATTTTTGATACAGAGTCTTGCTCTGTTGCCCAGGCTGGAGTGCAGTGGCACGATCTCGGCTCACTGCAACCTCTACCTCCAGGATTAAGGCGATTCTCCTGGCCCAGTCTCCTGAGTAGTTGGGATTACAGGCATGCGCCACCATGCCCAGCTAATTTTTGTATTTTTATAGAGACTGAGTGTTACCATGCTGGCCAGGCTGGTCTGGGACTCCTGACCTCAAGTAATCCACCCGCCTCAGCCTCCCAAAGTGCTGGGATTATAGGCATGAGCCACTGTGCCCAGCCTCTCTTTCTTTTATTTTCTTTTCCTGAGACAGGGTCTCTCTCTCTCTCTCTCTCTCTCTCTCTCTCTCTCTCTCTCTCTCTTCTTTCTCCTCTCTCTCTCTTTTTTTTTTTTTTTTTGAGAGAGGCGCAAACACAGCTTACTGCTATCTCGGCCTCCTGGACGCAAGGGATCCTTTCACTCAGCCCGCTGAGTAGCTGGGACTTTAGGCACGCACCACCATGCATAGCTATTTTTTTGTATTTTCTGTAGAGATAGGGTTGCACCATTTTGCCTAGGCTTGTCTAGAACTCCTGAGCTCAAGTGATCCACCTGTCTTGGCCTCCCAAAATGTTGGGATTATAGGGGTAAGCCACGGCACTCAGCTTTGTTCCCTTTTTCATTTGTCGCAAGCTATTTTCCAATTTCCCTCGTGATTTCTTCTAAAGAAGAAATTAAAATCCAGTAGTTGTTTTAAGAGTGTACTGTTTAGTTTGTGAATTTTCCATTTTTCCTTCTGTTATTGATTTCTAATTTTATTTCATTGTGATCAGAAAAGATACTTTGTACGATTTCAGTCTTTTAAAATGTGTTAAAACTTGTTTTGTGGCCTAACTCGTGCTCTGTCCTGTAGAAGGTTTCATGTGCACTGAGAAAAATATGTCTGCTATTATTGGACAGGATATTCTGCTACCACATTTTAATTTGCTTCTAACTCCCCATTATCAGACAAAGCTGCAGAGAACATCCTCACATATATTCCTTTGTGGACCTGTGTAAATTATCCACATGCTGAATTGGTGAGTCCTGAGGTATGTCTACATTTAATTTGACGATTGCTCTCAAGAATGGCTGTGCCACTCACACATCCACCAACAAGGTCTGAGGCTTCCTATGTTGCCATATCCCTGCTAACACTTAACATTAACGTGGTGGCTCAGACCTGTAATCCCAACACTTTGGGAGGCTGAGGCAGGTGGATCACCTTAGGTCAGGAGTTCGAGACCAGCCTGGCCAACATGGTGAAACCCTGTCTGTACTAAAAATACAAAAATTAACCAGGCATGGTGGCACGTGCCTGTAGTCCAGCTACTTGGAAAGCTGGGGCAGAAGAATCACTTGAACCTGGGAAGCCACGGTTGCAGTGAGCCAAGATCTCACCATTGCACTTAAGTCTTGGTGACAGAGTGAGACTCTGTCTCAAGAAAAAAAACACAACAACATTAACCAGCTTTCTATTTTTTGCCAGGCTGATAGGTATAAAGCAATGGTTCTCAACCTGGGATGATTTTAATCCCACAGGAGATAACTGGCAATTTCTAGAGATATTTTTTATTTTCCAAAGGGTATTGTCTATTGGCAGCTAGTGGGTATAGGCCAGGGATGCTGCTAAATATCCTAGGTACAGACAAGCCCCCGCAACAAAGAATTGTCTGGCCCAAAATACTGGTAATACCAATATTGTGAAACACTGTTGTAAAGAGATAGCTTGTTGTTACTTTGATTTGTATTTCGTTGATTACCAGTTATTTTCGGCATTCTTTTGTATCCATGTTGGCTACTTGATTTCCACTTGGATAAATGTCCTATGCATAGTCTTTTTTTAAAAAAAAAAATTTGGAATAGCTGTCCTTTTCTTGCTGATTCTCAGGAGTTCCTTGTATATTATTGCTATTAATGCCATTATTCCTCGTGAATTTTGGTGATTTTATATATTTTCTCCCTCTCTGTAAGCTCCTGTGGAGGATTAAGGTTGGTCAAAAACTTTTTTACTCTCCCTCCACTAAGAGGTAGGGGGGTCTGTGCCCTTCCTTTTGAATGTAGAAAGGCTTTGCAACTGCTTTGGTCAAAAAATTATGGCAAAAGAAACACTGTGTAAATTTCTTAAGAACCTTGCAGCTCCCACTTTCCATCTTTTGGAACACTCCTTCCTGGAGAAGCCACCATATAAGAAGTCTATCTGCTAGAGAGATCTTGTAGAGAGACCCTGACACTATGTGGACAGAGAGAGAAGCCCATCTGAGCCCCAGCTTTCTAACCGTCCATGCCAAGGTATCAGGAATGAAAGTTTACTTAAAACCTATAGATGAGACCATCTACCAGCTGAATACCACCTAGTAAGGCTGAATAAAA